ACTCATTCTTGTAATTATTGCATTTCAGTTCAGATTTTATTGCTCCTGCTTCATGATATCAAAGCCACATGATGATATCTGTGACTGGTGCAGAACAGCCCAGATGGTTCTGGAAGCACCGTGGTCTGACCCGTCCTGACAGATGATCCAGTCATGAAATGCTGGTGCCGGTGTGGTTGGAGCTGTCCTCTCCTCTTTTCACTCTCTGGAATCAAGACCCTGAAGTCCAGGTGGCCAAGGACTGTGCCAGCTCTTACAGACAGGCTGAAGTCGGGACACAGGGCCTGGCTGGCACCCCATTCTCCAGACCACGCTGCCTTCCACCACTGGGTCCCAGGACCCAGATGTGGGTGGATCTTTGCTTCTGACTTACGTTCGTTTGTTTATAAGAACCGCAAATCCTTTGTCCTAACGCCACTTGTTAGGACTGACAGATTCCTGATCGTGGTGTGTATGATGTTGTCAATAGGTTCCAAAGCTTATCCTTGATGCTCACAGTCTCAGAGTTGAAGAGGCCCTGGCGGGCACCGAGGCCAGCCTTGTCTGGTAAGTGCCTAGGTCCTTGAGACCACCTCATGCCCTTCATGGACAGAGACAAATTAAAAATAGCGACTTGATTCTCCTGATTGAAAAGAAGGGAAGAAATTTTCTCTGAACATCTACTTTTTTTTTTTTGAAATGGAGTCTCACTTTGTAGCCCAGACTGGAGTGCAGTGGTGCAATCTCGGCTCACTGCAACCTCCACCTTCTGGGTTCAAGAGATGCTCCTGCTTCAGCTTCCTAAGTAGCTGGGATTACAGGTGTGTGCCACTGTGCCTGGCTAATTTTTTTGTATTTCTAGTAGAGAGGGGGGTTTCACCATGTTGGCCAGGCTGGTCTTGAACTCCTGACCTCAGGTGATCTGCCTTGTTTGGCCTCCCAAAGTGCTAGAATTATAGGCATGAGCCACCACACCTGGACCTGAGGATTTACTTTTGAGAGATTCTATTTGAAGTACTTTCTTCCCTGTTTGAAATGTATATACATTGTTTTGAAGACTAGATTGGTAGTTTCTTGCCTTGTGACCTAGCATGTCTTTCTCAAGGACCTGGAAGCCCATTTTGAACTGTAAACATCAAAGGAGATGGCACCTCTTCTCTGGATTCTGAGAGAAGCCGAGAGCCTAACTTAGTGCATCTTGCTTCAAGTTGCAAAATGACCTCGTGTTAATGTTATGAAGATAAGAGTTTATTCTTCTTCTAGATACAGGCAATTAACAAACACAGATGGTAACCCCAATGATCAGGTGGCTCTGGAGTCAGCAGTTTGTGACAAATGGCACTGTCAGGGTCTCTTCCTTAAGGACTGGTCATTGTTTATGTTGAAAACACGTGTGCAGTGAGTTGTACCTGCTTGAGTCTTCAAAAGAGTGAGAGCCTTTCTTTGCAATCTGTTAGCCTTGCCTGTGATGCATAACACCTTCTGGCTTGATGGTTGTTCAATAACAAAACTTTTCTTTCTCTTCCACCTTTGTGGAGAGGTTTTCTGGGTTGGGAGCATATTCTATTTTTAATTATATTTCCCCAGTAATGGCCTTACTTATATCTAATGACAATAAATCATGGATACTTAAAATACTCTCTAGTTCTAGAAGGCATTCCCGTACGTTCATTTGGTTTTTATAAAATCAGGAGGCATTGAAACACCACTAAATTAGAAGGGATCACTATTCCATTTTAGTCATTTCCCATTTAGGAAACTGTGGCACAAGAGGACAAATGCCACCCATGGGACCCTGTCCGGCTGTTGGCAGAACAAGGACTGACCAAGGGCATCTGGCTTCAAATCCAGGGCTTTCCCCAGGTTTCACTGTGAGGCATGCAGGGTCTGAAAACACACTGGCACGTGCATGTCTCCAGCTTCCCTGGTCTTAGATACGCCTTTGCTGTGTTACAGAAGCGTCTCTGAGGGCCCTGGCACCTCTTCTGGGAGTTTCTGGTGTCTCCTTACCTTCCAATCTGTCTGGCTCCAGAGCGAGAAAGCAGCATGCCCACCCCACTCCTCGAGGCTTGCAGACAAAGTCCCGACCCAGGCTGCACCCTCACTGTCCATCTAACCCAGCAACTGCTGCCCATGGAAGGAGGGCAGTGGTCTCCAAAGTGGAATGTGAAAAGGGAAAAATCATCCAGGCTGTGATCAGAAAGGCAAACAGAAACAGAAAAAAGGAACAAGGGCACGTGTCTGTGTGAGGGAGAGATTCGGGGGAGCAAAACAGAGGAGGCCCAGAGAACTCTCCAGAAGGGTCTGAAGGCTGCTGCATGCAGGAGTACCGCTCACCGTCCAGTGAGGCAGGGGGGCCAGGCTCCTTGGGTGTGACTGCTCCAGCGGGAAGGCCAACCGTGATTCCATGTTGGGAGGAATTTCTGGGCAGAGCCATCTGTCCACAGAAGGGGCCATCCCGCTGGGTTTATGGCCTGGTGTTCAGGAGGATGACGTCCCGTCCTCAAGGTCGTGTGAGCACCCAAGTCACCCCCTGGATGCCAGGGGCCCATCCTCCAGTGCCCAGTGAGTGAGGGGCGAGGCTGGGGGCCTGCATTTTCTATATGTCTCCTCACCAGGCAGGCAGTCCTCACCCACATCCTGAGAAACACGGTATTAAGTCAGTGCTGCTGTCAGAGAGCCACCTGGATGGGGCTGGATGCTGGACTGGATGACTCAGTCTCTTCCAAGTTTAAAACATTTTTCCATTGCATGCCCAGGAGTGTTGGGCACCACGTGCCGGAGAATTTCCTCTCTGTTGGGTTACAGTATGGGGTTGTTTTTCTTCTCAAAGTGTTTACATAGACAGTGCAAACATGGAAAATCCCTCTGGCCATCGTGCAGAAAAATATGCATAAAGAATAACTGGAGAAAAATACCTTCTGTGGATTAAACACAGAAACACACACATACACACACACACACGCACTCACACATACACACACACACACACAGAGGCAGGGGTATCTTTCATTGTGCCTGTATGAAAGAATGAAAGGGAGGTTGAAGGAGAGAACAAGCTAGAAACACACTGTTCATTTTGAGATTTTTTCTTTAATCGCTTAATATAAGGAGATAGCAGGTTAGAATGATGTTTTACAGAAGATTGTAAATGATTATGAAGTCCTCAACTGGTAAAATGTCTTGACTTTGTCCCCGTCTTGGGGTCTGTGGTTAAATCATGGTAGACTGACAGTGGAGTAGAGTGTGAAGAACGCTGGCTTGAGGCTTGGACGAGTCTAAGTTTAATCTCCTGTTTACTGCTGTGTGGCCTTCTGAACCTGTTTTCTCACCTATATAATGGGGACAAAGGACCTAATTCATAGAGCAGTCGTGAAGATGAGAGACAATGGTGCACCAGACAAATCTGAGTTTAACCCATAATATTATCCCCGATCTTACCTTCATATTTTATAGAAACATTCATACATTATAGTAGCAAACATTCTGAGATGACTTATAAAACATAATACAAATTCACCTTGCATTTTAAAAGTCCAGATTTACTTAAATCATAATACTTTTATTCTTTTAGTGTTCATCAAATTTCATTTTCTTATTATATCCTAGCTTTAACATTTATTCTTCTCCTATTAAAACCTTTTTTAACGAGTTGATTCTGTGTGAAGCTTTTGTTTTTCTATAAAGGCTGCATCTTCCAAGAACACCTGCTGGGCACAGCCCCTTCACTGTGTGAACATTTCCAGCCTTTTTGTATTCTTGTCGTGGCATCTGACATGTAGTTACTAACCAAGCAAATGCAGCAGTTCATCGTCTCAGAGATCAGCCTACAGAGAATAAAAGAGGTAGCAACGTTGGTGAGGGTGTTAGGTAAGAAGGTCCCTTCTGGAGGAAATTGTTTTGTTTCTAGAACACCAGGGAGTTATGCTCCCGAACCACACAGCCAAGACGAATCTTCGTTAATTCATCTGAATGTTTCCTCAGCAAAATCAACGAGATCTTATTCATCCAAAGTTAAAAATTAGGCTTCGGCAGTCAGCACCAAGCAGTAAGAGGCAATCAGCAGTGTGGTACAAAGACATCATAAACAAGAAAGAACTTAACATGAAATCTAAAAACCTACTTCACATACACCGTGATGGTTACCAAAATAAAATATAAATCACCTATATTCTTATCACTCTTCAAAATATTTTCTTCCCTTCTGATGGCTCTTTCTGGAGTTTTCTCCATGTGTATGTTGCCATTTTCATGGAGATGAAATTTTATGCATTGCTGTTTTGATTTCACATTGTTAAGTGGTTTTTTTTATGCTGCTAAATCTTCATGGTGAGCATTTCAATGCCTGTGTAATACTGCATCCAGATGCTCTGTAGTAATTACTCTTCCATTCTCCTGTGGTTGTTCAATCATGTAATTTTCCACTTTAAGTCATAATAAGTATTGTACATCCCTGTGACCACAGCTTCGTGTTCTCAGCCCAAGCTCCAGGAGGAGAGGACTGGGTCAAAGCACCTGGACATTTTTATGACTTTTGAAGTGCATTGTGGAACCGTGTGACAGATGCTTTTCTGAATGCGATGTACCACTTTGATTTGATGCTGTTTTCTCCTGCCAGTTTGGAATGATAGGGTAAGAGAATACTCTGTGTTTGATGGAGAGAGTCAGATTTGGGTCTGAAATGTGTTTTCTGCGTAACAACGAGATGGAATCCAGTGATGCAGGCTGGGCTGTGGGTACTCACATTTCCTAAGAGATGTCATCTGCTTGGAGCCGAATAGGCTGTGACACGCAGGTGCCCCCAGGGAAACGGCCATGGCAGTGGTGGGCGTTAACCAGCAGGAATAAGGGACTGCTCCCAGTGGTGCTTCCTCTGAAGCCATTGCCACCACAGCAGTGCAGGGGACAGAAAGTCCCCTTTTCTGGGTCCAGGCAGCTCTGGCCCCTATGTGCCCTGCATAGGAGAGACCCAGGCTGCTTGGTAGAGGCCCAGAGCCCTGTGCCACCACCACTACCGGACGATGCTCAGGACCTCAGGGCTGGCCCTGCTGGCTCTGGTCAGTGCTGTGGGCCCCAGCCAGGCCAGCGGCTTCACAGGTGAGGGCTATGGGCTTGGCATGGGCAGTTCTTGAGGAAGGGGGCTCCTTGGCATGGCTCTCATGAGGACAACCCCCTACTGAGACCTGGGCAGGCAAGAACACCTTTGCTTTGAGAGCTGACATCTGTTCCATGGTGGCCAAGCTTTTCATAAGTGTACACGGTAGCAGCTGTGGAGGTGGGGCAGGAATGCTGGGTAGGCTTTTGGGAAGGGGACTGCCCCAGTGGGAGCCTGCTGCAGAATCGCCTGGGTGTTCATGGGAGTAAAATGCAGATTCTTAGCTAGCAGGTCTGGGGCACAGGGCCTGGAACGCTGCCTGTCTGTGGGTGATGCAGATGCTGTGGGTCCTTGGATCCCGCTGAGAAGAGTGTCCTACAGACACAGAGGAAAGGTCTCCAGAACCTTGCTGCATTCAAGTCCTCGCTTACAGATTGAAAAAAAAAAAGGGGAGACTGAGCCTGGGCAACATCATGAAACCCCATCTCTACAAAAAACAAAAGTAAAATTAGCCAGGCGTGGTGGTGCACACTTGTGGTCCCAGCTACCCAGGAGGCTGGGGTGGGAGGATCGCTGGAGCTTGGGAGGTTGAGGCTGCAGTGAGCCGAGATTGTTCCACAGCACTCCAGCCTGGGTGACAGAGCGAAATCCCTCAAAACAAAACAACAAAAAAAAATACAAAACAAAAACAAGAAAGAAAGGCAGACCCAGAGTGGATCAGGGACTCAGCATAGGGCACGCAGCTCTCCAAGGGCAGAGTCACAGAGGGAGCCGGGGCAGCGCCAGTTTTCCCAGGCATGCAGAGGGCACAGCAGCCGCTAAAACACGTGGGAGTTCTGAAACCCTGGAATCGAGGAAACGGGACTGCAGACTTTGAAATCATTTTCCTCTGAAAATCTGTCTTATTCAGTTAGAAATTTAAAGGGATGCATTCTGTTTCTAAAATCTACGAAGCTTTCGTACTGGCTTAAAGTTTTTCACCCAGAAGCAGGATTTTCCTTTTACTGTGATTTGTGAAATGGATGTCTCTATTGGAACAGGTAATGTATAGACACCACAGTTCAGGTGCATAATGGGTGGGAATCATGGCAAGCTGGAGAAGGTCTTAAGAGGCGTTTCCAGAACCCCTCATTGTATATGAGGACACCTGGCTGAACCTTAGCAACCCCACGTCTACCCACCCCGAATTTTCCCTGGACCAGCACTGCCTTCAGGGGCATGGCTCCACCTCAGCCTTCTGCAGCCACAGGGCATGGCTGTGATTTCACAGATGACAAGAGGAGGGCACCTGGAAGGCGTGACATGGGCACAGAATCACACAGCAAGTGTTCATGAGCCTGGGTGTGAGTGCAGGTTTGTCTGACCCCAGAATTCTCGTCGGCCTCGGAGCGTTAGGCTTCCCCGCTCTGAGAGCGGAATCCAGGACGCCCAGGTTCCTACTGCGATGGCCCTTGCAGGGCTTTGCAGAATGCCAGGATCTGCTAAACACTTTCTTCTCTGGGCTCAGTCAAGAAGCCAGCCTTGGGATGACATGTGACCTTGGATGAAATGTAAAAGACAAAACAGGACCAACACCTCCCAGGTTCCAGAGGAGACGAGCGTGCGTGCGTGTGCGCATGCGTGTGTGTGTGCATATGTGTGTGTGCACGTGTGAGTGAAGGAGGGCTCTGCTGTGGATCAGCCGGGGCCCTGTAATGATTAGACGGGGCCCTGACATCTCTCTAGAGACCCGGAGCTATAAGTGTCCTTAATGTGGTTGGCATCTCTGCTCAGGTTAAGAGGAAAAACACAAGCTAGATCCACCCTGCTAGGTTCTCAGTGCAGGAAGTCCTCGGGCTTTGCTAGTTTGGTGTGGTCACTGAGTAGGTGACTGCGTTCCTCTGGCGGTATTCCCCCGTTCCTCAGGTAAGTCACTTCTAGGCTCTGGGCCAAGATGCCTTGGTCCCAGAAGCTGACTTGTCCTGTCCCACCCCCTATGACAAGGGTCTCCATTCCTTTGTGGAACTACCCCGTTGGTGATGGCAAGCAGCAGGTGGTCCCCATCCCCAGAGGCCCTGCTGAGCCCACAGGGTGATTTGAGGTGCAGCCCCCAGAGGACGTTGCAGCTCCAGTCCCTGTTACTTGTGGAGTGGGGTCGCTGTGTGGCAAGCATGTGGTCCAGCACCCGTGTTCCGCCTAGAGCAAAGCTGCAGCCTCTCCCTCACCTGGTTTGAGGGCTGGCTCTGCCCTGCTTCTTCCTGGGGCGAGTAACAAGCCCCCTGAGTCCAGCTTTCTGCACACTGGTAGGTTGCTGTGAGGTCCAAGCAGGGAATCCGCAGAGAGGCTGCCTCAGTGGAGGGAATAAGGACAGGACAGGTTTTGTGATCATGTCTGCTCCCATCTCCACCTTCCTCCACAGAAATCAATCCAGGTGCTCACTGAGGAAAGTAAACCGTAATACTGAGCCCCACCTCTTGGCTGTAAGTAAAGCTTAGAGCCTAGTTGAGTATCTGAAATGCAAGCACTGTAGGTCAAACCCTCCGTTCGTCCTGCAGGGAGCATCCACAAACTCAGAGCCCCCTGCTAGGTGCCACGGGGGAGCAGGAGGGGACCCTTCACCATCGCTGTGTTCACTCGCTAGGGCTGGTGTGACAATGAAACACAGCCGAGGTGGCTTAAATGGCAAAAAATGGATTGATTCTCTCACAGTTCTGGAGGCCAGACGTCTAAGATGAGGGTGCAGGCGGGCTGGCCCCTCCTGAGCTCTGTGGGAATCTCTGCTCCAGGCTCCAGCTTCCAGGCTTGCTGGCAATCTTTGGTGTTCTTGGCTGGTAGAAGCCTCACCCCGGTTTCTGCCCTCTTCTCCCTGTGTGCCTGTCTGTCTCTACATTTCCCTTTACTATAAGGACCAGTCATATTGCATTAGGGCCCACACTAATGTCTTCACTTTAGCTTGATAGCCTCCATAAGACTCAGCTGCAGATAAGGTCAGACTCCGAGTTACTGGGGTTTAGGACTTTACATATGAATTTTTGGAGAAACACAATTGATTCGAATTAGGCAATAGGGGTTGCCTGGGAGATGGGGAGCCCAGGCACCATGTTGAAAGATGTCCATGATGAAGAGGCGCGTGGTGAATGTCATGGGGCAAGGTCTGGAGAACCGAGTATCACATTGATAAGACGGTGATGGGCCTTATGCCTAGGAACCGGGCTCCAGTGAGAGACGCGTGGGGCCCAATACGGTGAACTTGATGCCTGTCCTGCTGCAGGGGTGACCATGCCTCCCTCTGATCACAGTGGTAACGACTGAACAGTTGAACTAGTCTTTTTTTTTTTTTTTTTGAGATGGAATCTCACTCTGTTGCCCAGGCTGGAGTGCAGTGGCACCATCTCAGCTCACCGAAATCTCTGCCTCCTGGGTTCAAGCAATTATCCTGCCTCAGCCTCCCAGCAGCTGGGATTACAGGTATGCACCACCATACCCAGCCTTTTTTAAAAAATATATTTTTGGTAGAGACGGTGTTTCACCATGTTGGCCAGGCTGGTCTCGAACTCCTGACCTCAAATGATCTGCCCACCTCAGCCTCCCAAAGTGCTGGGATTACAGGCCTGAGCCACCACGCCCAGTCTGAACTGATCTTTTATCATAGACAAACTTCTCACGTGTGCTTTAATTACCTGTTTACTTCCCTTCCACGTCACTGAAAAGAAAGCTGTCATTTTCAGGCCCTGGCCACAGCAGGCCTTCAGCGTGCACTGCAGAGAGAGGCACGTTCCTTTCCCAGAGGGCAACCTTGAGACTCAGGGGGACCAAGAGATAGATGTGCACGAGATTCTGCGGCCTGTGGAATCAGCCCACATGGAGCAGGAAAAGGGGACGTGATCTCGGAGCGTTGATCCCAGTGCTGGGCTCTTTCCTTCTTATACTGGTCGTGAGATCACTGTGCTCAGGGAAGCATATGTGGGGCCAGGTGGCGTCTCCTCCTTGCTCACAGCAGCTTTCTTAGCAGGCCAGGCTACGTTTGTGCTTCATTCCTCTGCGTTCACTCACGCAGCAGCCTTCCCAGCCCACTAGTAGGAAAAGGCCTGTGGAGAAGGCTGGTGGGCAGCTCCTGAAGGCCTGCCAAGTGTGGGAGCTCTGGCCTCACTTGCTGTTGCAGAGGGCGCCTTGCAGATCGCAGCTCCAGGGATCTGATCCTGGCGTCCCTCCCTCTCCTGGTCTCGGTCTGCCTCCTTGCTTGCCTCTCTTTTAGAAAAAGGCCTGTCCCTGTTGGGCTACCAGCTGTGCAGCCACCGCGTGACCTACACTGAACAGAAGGTGGAGGCCGTGCAGACATCCTACACAACCTATGTGTCCTGTGGCGGCTGGATCCCCTGGAGGCGGTGCCCCAAGACTGTTTACGGGACCCGGTACCTGGTGGTGGAGGTCCCCAAGTCCAGGAACGTGACTGACTGCTGCCAGGGCTATGAGCAGCTCGGCCTCTACTGCGTCTTGCGTGAGTCCAGCCAGGGCTGTTGGGCTGGGGCGGGGCCGCCCTCGCCATCGGGACTCCTGATGGGACAGTCACCATTGGTATCCATTGGCCCGGAATTTGCTAGGTCTTCCAGGAGCACAGTTCCCAGCCTTGACTGCGCAGCAGGGTCATTGGCAGGGCTGTCCCTGGCCCCACCCCCAGGTTTCTGAGTCTGTGGGTGGGGGTGAAATGTAAGAATTGGCCATTCTGACAAATTCCTGGGTGACGCTAATGCTGCTGGCCCAGGGACTGCACTTTGAGAAACTCTGTTGTTCTCAGAGGGCTCCTGGGCAGCTCTAAAAATGCAGATGCCTGGGTCTCATTCTGAGAGAGTGGGAGGGAATTGGTCCGTCGCATGGCACGGGTGTCGGGAGTTTTCAAAGCTCCCAGAGTGATTCTCACACGCCGCAGAGTGTGAGAGCAGCACTGCACTCTTCTGCAGCGGCCTCTTCTTGCTAAAAGCTGCAGTGAAATGCTTTTGCCACCAAATCCTATTCTGAACTCGAATACATGAAAGAGATGGAAGGAGCCCCGAGCTACCACCCTAAGTGCCCAGAGTCTCCCGCTTCCTCAGTGCAGCTTGAAAGCTGTGGGCCTGTAGGATGCCTGGGGCCAGTTACCGGGGTGACTGGTGTGGTTATGCTGGGCCAGGGTCGGAGGCATTGGGATGGGGCAGGGGCTCAGGGTTCAGCCTACTGACACGCAGGTGACCTCTTCCAGGAGAGGGGTGTGTGTGTGTGTGTGTGCGCGCGCGCGCGCGTGCGCACGCGCTAATTTTGAGTCAATAGCAGGTCTGCAGTGAGTTTCTGTATAGTCAGAAGGTCCTGCCTCACAGCCCCACTGTGGAAGGATGTGGGAGGGTGTGGCTCCAGCTAGGTGTCGGCCTGGGTCACTGAGACACAAGGGCTGTGATCTCTAAAGTGCAGAAGCCACCAGCTCCTGGGTGCCCCCACGGGGATCCTACAGGATCCTTCCTTGTGGACTGAGACCAGGACACCTGCAGAATGGGGCACGGACTGCCCAAACCAGGGTGCCTGCCTCCTCCAGAAACCAAGGGCCCCAGGGGGTCTGCATAGACCGGCATGCTGGGCCATCCCGAGTGGGCCCTCCCTCAGCCTCCAGTGCGATTTCACAGATGACAGGGAGGGCTGATGCTTTTCTGCTGTCCCATTCAGAGAGCCAGGCACAGAGAGGGCCTTATGGTTCCAGGTGTGCCATTTAACAGGCGTGTTCCTCTTTCAGGAGTGTTAAAACAACACCATGACCAACACCTCCAACACCAACAGAAACCAGGCAGGACCAGCTGACCCCAGAGCCACACTTTCATCACCAATAGAAACCAGGCAGGACCAGCTGATCCCAGAGCCACGCTTTCATCACCAATAGAAACCAGGCAGGACCAGCTGACCCCAGAGAACACTTTCATCACCAATAGAAACCAGGCAGGGCCAGCTGAACCCAGAGAACACTTTCATCACCAATAGAAGCCAGGCAGGGCCAGCTGACCCCAGAGAACACTTTCATCACCAATAGAAGCCAACCAGGGCCAGCTGACCCCAGAGCAATGGCTCTTCCGTACTCTCATTGGTTCCCCCGAGGGCCACTGGCAGGGAGAAGCTGTGACCTGGCCGTGCTGCTCAGGTGCTGGTCTAAGGAGATGCTCCCTGTCCTGATGCCTGCCGCCCAGTTCCACTTTCCCTTTCTCTGAGGGCCACACGCACAGAGGGGCTAGCCTGCTGAGCCACGGTTGCTGCCACCCCTGCCCTGCGGGCAGCCTCCCCTTTCTTGGAGGTTGACGGGAGTCATTAGGACACAGGTGTCGGGGCCACAGCACCTTGGTTTAGAGCACGTGGGCTTCGCAGTCAGGACATGCCCTGCCCCATCCTGTCCTGTTTTATCTGTGAAGGCCACCTCTCTCCCTGCCTGTGGGCACTGTGGGGAGGAGGCTCTGGGGGAGGCTGATTGGCAGCTCCTCCTTGCCCTCGCTTGGCAGGGCCAGACCAGCCCCACCCATGCCTACCATCACCTTCTGTAAGAGACCCTGGCCGGCTGCAGCAAACAAGTTAATTCCGTCCCAGAAGACAGGGAGGCCCCTCCCCACCACCTGCCCCTCATCCTCCTCCCCCTCTGTAGACCAACCTCCAGGAAGAGCCTCTTGTGGGAATCGGCTCCATTTTCAGGATGTGAGCACCTTTAATTAGAGGCTCTCCAGGGCCATACCCTTGCAGTCAGGGAGTCCTGTGGGTAAGAGTGGGCTGCCCTGGGGAGCTGCAGGGAGGGGAAAGCGAGGCCGCAGGGAGGGACGTGGGGCCGGAGGGGAAGTGGACTCACCCTGTGGGCCCTGAGCCCCTCAGTACATGGTTCCTCAGGTTCTAGAAGGCTCACTCTGGCACAGTGAAGAGGGGGCAGACCCAGATGGAGGAAGGAAGAGATGACGCAGCAGAACGGGCATTGGCTGTGTGCATTCTTTCTAAGAAGCCAGGGCAGGAGACTCTCCAATCTCAGACACCAAAGGACCGAGCGTCCCTGGCTCTGCAGGTGGGGATCCAGGCTAGGGGAGACCTGAGCCTCCACCACTGTGGCACAGCTCCTGGGAGGCAGGCTGGGGATGTGGGCCTGGGGCTCTTGGACCCTCAGGCAGATTTTGGGGGGTTTACCAAGCTGCACTTTAGTGTAGGGAGTTTGTGGCATTTGAGTACTGTGGCTGTGGCGATTGCAGGAGGAGGAACATTTCAGGGCACTGAGAACACAGGGTTCTTTCTCAGGAAGGTCCCTCCCTGTGCTGGGGCCTGGTGAAGGGCTCAGTCCACGAAGCTTCTGCAGTTCCTGCCGCCAGAGGGCCTGGATCCCGTGGGCCTCTATCTCTTCCCAGCCCGAAGCTTGGAGACATCACGCTGCTAATGTGAAGGTGCCTGTGGCGGGCGGATTTCCACCCTGGATTCTGGCAAGCACAGCCTTCTCCTGCTTGCACAGCTCTTTTGATCAAAGCCTGAAGGGTTAATGGATGCTTTTCCCGGGATGCCATGTGGCAGGTTGGCTCCTTGGAGCTGGAGGTGAGATGGTCTCAGGGACGAACCTGTCGAGAGCTGTGACTCTGATTTGTACAGAATGAAGCAGGGCCCAAAGCTGGACCTGACAGATGCTGGAGGCACCTGGAAATACCGGGAGGCATGAAGGGTGGGAGACGCTCCTTCTTCTGTGGCGGGGCCTCCAGGTTGCCTGAGTGTGGGTGACATGCCCTCAGCCGCCTGGGGCTCTGAGCCTTGCAGTCCTGTCCCCCAGGCAGCGGTAAAATGCCAGCGGCGTTTCCTTCTTTCTCCTCCCACTCAATAATGACTTATGCAGAAAAGGGAAGGGAAGCATGAACATGCACGTGGTATGACTTCCGGTGACTTTTCAACTCGCTCAGTCCCGCATTTGGACTGCAATGGCAACTTGTGCATTATTTTAAGTTTTTGAAAAAACATGCTTACAAACATGAATACATGAACCATACAGAACATTTGGAAACACAAAGAACGAGAGGAAACTATCCCAAACCTGCCGCTCGTGAGTAACCACCTTTCACGTGTTCTTCCCTCCAGGGCAGACATTTCACAAGAGGATGGTCACTGCATCCAAGACATCTGTAGCATGATTTTACCACTCAGCAATCTATCCCTGGCAGCTTTCACGTCCGTAAGCGTCACCCCACTGCCGGCTTTCATGGCCACATGGCATGAGCTCATAAACGCATCAGCCTTTGTTGAGCAAGCTCTCACCACTTAATGTTCCGTTCTTTCTAATTATTCATGATCACACATAATGCTGTGATGAACATCACAGAGTGCAAATACAGCAGGGCACAAGTTGGATTCTGAGAAGTGGAACCCAGCACTTAGCTGTGATCTGCAATTCCAGTGACACCCCAGTTCTGCACAGAATCAGCCTCCTGGCAAACTCAGCCTTGTTGGGCAAGTCCAGGACCCCACCGGACCAGGAGATGCCCCAAAACTTCCTGTCGCCGCATGCTGATGATCAGGGGCCCTTTGATGAGAACTTCCTGTCCCGACCTGGCAAAGAGGCACCAAGGAGGGAGGAGGGAGACAGGAATGACTCCTCCCCAGCCCTTCCGATCCTCAGCCCCGGGAGCCTTGGGTTTGTGGCTCACACAGAAAGCTCCCCTGTCGCCTCCCTGGACCATGACTAACCGTGTTGCCAGGAGCTGAACAGTTGTGTTTTATTGTTTGCATTAAGTTAGGGAAGAGGGAGATTTTTGACTTTCTACCAAGTTGGACTCGTTCAGCGTTCTCAGGGCGTTCAGTCAGGTGGCCAGTGCCGAGGGATGGAGGGGCCTCCCGGCACTACCCAGTCAAGATGCAGCCCTTTCACTCTAAAACACGCCCTGGTGATTAGGCAACTATTTTTGGAAGCCAATTTTTGAGGGGATTGTTTCTGTTTAAGTAAACCTTTTAGTTCAGAATAGTTTTAGATTTGCGGGAAAGTCTTAAAGATAATGCAGGAAGGTCCTGTACACCCCAGCTTCCCCTAACCTCAGCCTCTTACATCTCTCGGGCCTATTTGTCCTCAGGGGCCGACACACTGGGCATCGTCAGTGAATGCCATACTTTATTTGGATTTCCCTGCTTTTCCCAAATGTCTTTTCTGTCCCAGGAGCCCACCTTCCATCGAGTCCCTATGTTGGATTAACCCTGTGGCCTTTGCTTTTTGCACTGGGAGACAAAACAGCGACCTCCAGGTTCCCAGCAGGGCCGCCACCTTCTTTCTTGGTTGCAAGTCTCTGCGGACCCTGGGGGACCTGAGAGGCCGGTCCCTGGGACCCAGCCTGGAGGCTTCCCTTCCACTTGACCGATCTCACAAGTTTTCCCTGCCGTCGCAGGGTGTGAGTTCAGGACCCAGTTACCAGCTGGTCTCCTCTAGTCTTCTGGGCTCTGAGGGGTCTCGGGCTGTGCTTCTAAACCTCCCCGGGCCATAGACACACAGAGTTTGCCATGCATCTGGGCATGAGCCGGACAGCTCTGAGTAAAGCCCCAGTGGGATGGTACCCATCATCAGGGTGGCTGGCTATGGAGGCTGCGGAGCTGGGCAAGCCTTCTCTGGGGCCCAGCGCCAGGGTCCCTCCTCCCTCTGTGTCCTCTTCGCTGTGTCCTCTTCGCAGTATGAATCCAGGGGTCAGTATGCCCTCAGCCTCTTGGAGCTCCACCTTCTCAGATGGGGTCGTCTCCTGCCCTGGGCCCACCCCGGCCGTCTTGGCGAGGGCGCACTGCAGGCTCCGTCAGCATCGGGCTCACGCTCCGCTGTCTCCGCCCTGTGGGGTTCCGTTTCTTCTCTTTTCCCTCGTCCTGTGCTCCTCGGAGCTCTGAACGGCAGCCCCTGGGCTCCTGACGGCTTCCCTCGGGGTGGGTTCTGACTCCTGCTGTGCTTTCTGAGAGCTCTACGAGCCTTCTTCCGGAAGGCCCACCGTGGCCTCTCCCTGCAGCCCTGGCTGAGGTCCGGTCCCTGGGACCCGCGCACCTCGCATGGGGACTCCACCGGCTGGCCTCGCGCCCTCCTTGTCTTTGTCTCCTGCAGAGGCTCGGCGCATTTCTGTGTCTGGAGCTGCGCCCGAGCTGCGCTCACACAGTGAAGGGCTGGGAGTTGTGCAGCCAGCCGCCGGTGGGCTGGTCTCAGCGGCCGCCTCCGCTGTCACTCTGTCGTTCGTCTCCACGTGGGCGAGCAGTGGACGTGTCAGACCTCACATTTGCGCCTCCACTCTCCTGGTCTACCCCAGGCCGTTCTTCCCACAGCTTTCCCCAGCTCAGGAATGGAGCCCTAGGGGTGCCAGGCCCCAAACCTGGGAGCCTTCCTGAAGCTTCTTCTTCTATGACACCCCCATCCTGTCAGTACATCTTGTGGGCGCCCCCACCTGATCTCCCCAGGGTCCCATGCTGCACTCGCCTGCACTGTCACCTGGGCCAGCCCCCACCACGCCCCACTCCAGGCCCACACCTCGCCTCTCGGGCGCCGGGGCTGATGTCTGCGGGCTGCTCCGAGCTCCCCCCGGCCCAGCCCAGGCATGAGCCCCTCTCCAGAGCGGCCTTCCCAGACTCCCGCCCCCCACGCGGCTGCAACCCTGAAGCTCTCACCCTGTCTGAGCATCTGTCGGTCTCCTTCCACTATTGTTCCCCCACTGGAATATACGTTTCCTGAAGGCTGGGCCCTGGGTATCCAGCATTGCACTGGGCACAGAGCAGGTGCTCAACAAACATTGAATGAATGAATGAATGAATGAATGAGTGAGCTATCAGGACTTGAAGCAGCAGGGGCTCTCTCAGGGGGTGGTGGAGCCCCCTGGACCTGGACTCCTGAGGCCTAAAGAAAACAGAGACCCCCAGGACCCCAGCTGAAGCTGCCCTGGCAGGACAGATGGGCAGAGGATAGGAGAGGCAAGCCAACGGCCCTCCAGTGGGGCGGGTGTCTGCCCATGGGGATGGGTCCTGAACAGGCCACAGACCCTCAGGCAGACTTCAGCACCAGGAAGCACCCACATCAGGTCCCTGGGCAGCAAATAAGGGCTTTGTCTTTTACGGCCAGCATCACTAATTATATCATTTTCTCCCAGCCCTCAATCGGTCCAGCGAGTTCACATCAAGACCTGGGGTCTGCCCTGCAGAGGAACCTGAACCATCCACCTCCTCCTGCAGCTTGGACACTGACTGTCCTGGACTTCAGAAGTGCTGCCCCTGGTCAGGGCGCTATGGTTGCATGGCCCCTGCACCCCAAGGTAGGCTGCTGCGGGCTGTGCTCATGGACCTGCAGCCCAGGAGGGTCTCGATGAGGCCTGAGCTGTGTGGTCTACGTGGAGGTGTGGGGAGGAGAGGGTTTCTGGGAGCCCAGCCCTTTTCACAGGGAGCCCCCACTGTGTGCACAGGTGATGTCTGCTCTCAGATAATTTCTTAGTCAAAATCTGGCCACTGAAGTCTCAGGGGAGACGAGCTCATGGCGCTCGCAGGAGCCCTGAAATGGTAAGACACTTTTGATGCAGCAGAGACCAAATCCACTCCAGCGGAGCGGATTTCCCAGTTTGCCTGGGGAGGCAGGAGCCCCAGGTGGATCTGTCGCAGGTGTGAAGCTGGCTGCACGCGCAGCACCGCAGGGGCCCGATGAGCTCCGCAGCGCCGGTAGATGTCCCTGCTGCCTCAAATGCCCGGGCTGGTCTGGAAAGTTCTCTTTCGATTGGGATCTGCATACAAGAGAATGGGATGGCATAGATATGTTATATGTAATGTGGCATATTATTTAATATTTTAAATATGTATTATGGCGTTAGTATAGAATGAAGTGATAAAACAACATACACAGTGTCAAGTGTTATATGATAATCTATCATTATATTACAAGCTATTATGTAATATGTATTGTGTGACATACTATACTATCCAATATTTGTAGTGTCAGTAAAATAATGACAGAATAAAATAGTTTTCCATATCAATACATATGACAGCATAGTGAGGCTGACAGGCTCTATTAACTCCTAAGCCAATCTCTTCAAGGGAAGGCCTGCTGCTGTGGGTCGAGGCCCAGCTCACCCCTGAGCAGGGATCAGTGGTCCTCAGGGACATCAGGATGGAGAGGAGTGAGGGACAGGCAGGGGGACATCCTGCCATCTCCTGGGGCAGATGCCTTTGTGCAGGAAGGTAAATGCAGAGAAGGGCCTCTTGCTTCCTCTCCTGCCCCCTCCCCCACCCCAGTGGCTCTTGTGACTTCCACCTGTCCTGGGGCCACAATCATCATCGTTTGCCCTTATATAGCTCCAGAGAGGCACCCCGTGGGCTCCTGGTACAACGTCACCATGCTGGTGAAAATGGACTTCAAGGAACTCCAGCAGGCGGACCCCAGGCTCCTGAACCACACGCGCCTCCTGCACTCCTTGGTAGGTGAGAAAGATAGGGGCTGTCTGCACGCTGCTTTCGGCAGCTGCTCAGGCAGACCCAGGTGGGGCTGTGGAACAGACCTGGGGGCTGGGGAGGGTGATGTTCTACTAGTGACCCCAAATGACTGAGTCTGAACCAATTTTTTCTTTGAGACAGAGTCGCCCAGGCTGGAGTACAGTGGCATGATCTTGGCTCACTGCAACCTCCACCTCCTGGGTTAAAGCAATTCTCCTGCCTCAGCCTCCTGAGTAGCTGAGATTACAGGCACCCACCATCATGCCCTGCTAATTTTTGTATTTTTAGGAGAGATGGGGTTTCACCATGTTGGCCAGGATGGTCTTGAACTCCGACCTCAGGTGATCTGCTTGCCTTGGCCTCCCAAAGTGCTGGGGTTACAGCTGTGAGCCACTGTGCCTGGCCCCAAATTCTAATCCTTAAAAAAATCAGCTTCGAAGAGGTACCATTTACCTCTGTGTGTGCAACAAAGTGCAGACAACTGAAATGTGTCATTGGATGAGTTGTGATGTGTGTGTCCTCACAGGCCCGCCTGTTGTGGGGGAGAGCACGGATCCCTACGCTTGCAGAAGTCTCGAGTCCCAGCAGAGACAGTCTGAGCCCTGAGCTCGTCCCTCACCAGCCTCACTCCCAAATCCCTCAAGTTCTGGCTCTTGCTTTTTAGAAGCCCACACCATCCTGGGGGTGCTAAATCAGAAACCCTAGCCTGGGGCTGGAGAGCACCCTGTGGTCCGATGGTTGGCAGCACCCCTGGCCTCTCCACACAAGTCAGGAGCACACCCCAGGGCGATATCCCAGACTGTCTCCAGACATGGCCCACTGTCCCCAGGGGATGAAAACAAACACCCTGGCTGAGACCCACTGATGCCACGGCTCACACTTTCTGGCCCTCATCAGTGATTTCCAATCAGGATATCTTCTCGAGCTCAGGCCACCACTAGTCTCGGGAATCCCAGCGTGGATAGGGTGCTGCGTGTCCCCAAGGCCGCCCTCCCTGGGGATGGTCTGACCTCGGGGCCACCTGCTGACAGGAGCCTGCGCTCAGAGGGGCCCCAGCTTGGTCTAATGTGCTGCCGTTGCCTCTGGAAATGACGAACACTCTTCAGACAAGGGGACCCGCGTTTTCTTTGGCATCTGTGTAGCTGTTCTGCGCTTCAGATCTTGTGTGCATCCCACATGTGCCTGGGGGTCTTGGTGTCAGACCCGGGGTTGGGGTGTTCCTTAGCCTTTAGACCAGGCATCCCGAAACTACGGCCTGCAGGCCGCATGCGGCCCCCTGAGGCCATTTATCCGGCCCCCCACCGCACTTCAGGAAGGGGCACCTCTTTCATTGGTGGTCAGTGAGAGGAGCACAGTATGTGGCGGCCCTCCAACGGTCTGAGGGCCAGTGAACTGGCCCCCTGTGTAAAAAGTTTGGGGACGCCTACTTTAGACTAAGCTGGCTGGGAGCCCAGGGCAAATGGTGCTCACCTCATGTTGTTCTGGGCCACTGGCCAGGGGGCTGCTGGACGGGTAGTCTACAGCCTCAGCCTTAACAGCTCAGGCTGGGAGTGATTCCTGTTTCCCCTTAGCTTGTTCAGGGGGCTGCTCAATTAGCCGTTAAGAAGCAGGCTCTAAAGCCACACTGTCTGGCCTTGATGTTGCCACTCATCAGCTGTGTGACCTTGGGAAAGTCACTTAACCTCTCTGTGCCTCCTCCATTAAATATAATCAGCCAGGAGTGGTGGCTCACACCTGTAATCCCAGCACTTTGGGAGGCCGAGGCAGGCGGATCACCTGAGGTCAGGAGTTCAAGACCAGCCTGGCCAACATGATGAAACCCTGTCTCTACTAGAAATACAAGCATGGTGGCAGGTGCCTGTAATCCCAGCTACTGGGGAGGCTGAGGCAGAAGAATTGCTTGAACTGGAAGGTGGAGGTTGCAGTGAGCCGAGATTGTGCCACTGCACTCCAACCCGGGCAACAAGAGCGAGACTCTGTCTCTAAATAAATACATAAATAGAAGAAATCATCCTAACTCTGCCTGAGACTGGGCCATGCGTTTAAATCATGCATGGAAAGAGCTTGAGGTGGTTCCTGAGCTTCCTGGTGTGTGCGGGGCCGGAGACCTCGTGGTGGCAGAGTTTTCAGTGTTGCTGTGTGCCGCCTGCTGCTCCCCGCATAGATTTCATCTCCAACCAGACCATGACGCCCCGCAGAAGCGCCTGCCTTGCACAGGGGTCTGGCAGCCTCAGGCGCTGGGCTCCGAGGCCCGTTTCTGCTGCTGAATGAGGGGTTCCGATGAGGCCAGGGCTGGTTCCCAGTTCCGTCTTCTAAATTACCAGCCACATCTCCTCCCAGGAAGGGGTTTCAAGTGTGTCTCGGAGAAGGACTCCGGCTCTCTCCAAACCTCCTTTGGGGTTCTCAGTGGAGACTTGGGGGTTTGCTGGCAAAGTTTATTTTGGTGGCCGCCGGCTTGGCTGTGGAGTTACCGGTTCACCTGGCTTCCCAAGGGTTGAGATTTCAAGATATTAAGCTGAAATAAAAATAATGCATATGAAATGAGAAAAGTGATCATCAAACCTCAAAAAAATAACTGGTTGTGTACAACAGGAGACCGTGGCTTTTGATCTCGAATTGTCTAATTCTGGTTCTAATTCTCTGTCGTCAGCTGCAAGAGACCTGCGGTCTTGGCAGGGGTGGGAGACGGAGGGTCCCGGGGCTGGCTGCTATATTAGGGTCCTGGGGCCACTGTAACCGAGGACCACAGACTGGGGGCTTCAACCCACAGAAACTTACTCTCTCACCATTCCGGGAGCAGGAAAGCCTGAAATCCTGGTGTCGGCAGGGCTGGTTCCTCCTGGACCTCCAGACCTCTCTCCTCGGCGTGCAGACGGCTGTCTGTCTCTTCACATTGCCTTCACCTCGTTCATGTCTGTTTCTGTGTTCAAATCTCCCCTTTGATGATGGCACCAGCCATACTGGATTAGAATCTATCCTCACTAATCATATCCACAGTGACCCTATTTCCAAATCAGGTCATATTTTGAGGTACTGGAAGTTAGGACTTCAACATACGGATTTTTTTTTTTTTTTTTTTTGAGACAATGTCTCACTCTGTCGCCAGGTTAGAGTGCAGTGAGGCAAGCTCAGCTCGCTGCAACCTCTGCTTCCAGGGTTCAAGCGATTCTCCTGTCTCAGCCTCCTGAGTAGCTGGGACTACAGGTGCCATCACAACCAGCTGATTTTTGTATTTTTAGTAGAGACGGGGTTTCATTATGTTGGTCTGGATAGTCTCGATCTCTTGACCTCATGATCAGCCCGCCTCGGCCTCCCAAAGTGCTGGGATGACATATGGATTTTAAGGGAAGGAATTCGGCCCGTAACAGCTGGCGCTGAAAGGTATTGGTAGTCTGGTTTACAGGACTCTTACTGGGATAGTGACAGATGTATAAGTACTGTACAGGTTCTGTTCTGAGGAGCGGAATGGTGTGTGTGTGTGTGTGTGTGTGTGTGTGTGTGTGTGTGTGTGTGTACAGTTCATTTCAGCTCTGTGGCCTCAGTCTCCTTGTCTGACGGGGTGTCCTTCTGCTGTGTGATGCTTTGATTCTGACTTCACAGGTCACCAGTGCCCTGCAACCACTGGCCTCCACTGTCCACCACCTGCACTCGGTCCCTGGGGATGCCTCCACCACGGTGTCGCGGCTGCTGCTGGGCCTGCCTCGGCCATTGCCCGTGGCTGACGTCTCCGGCCTGCTGGGCGACATCGCAAAGCGTGTCTACGAAGTGATCAGCGTCCAGGTGCAAGGTCAGGCTTCCCTCGGTCGTCCCTCTGGGGAGGTTGCAAGGTGGCCCCTGAACAGCCAAAATGCAAGGTGGCTGCTAAGGCCAGGCCAGTCCTTTGTCTTTAAAAGGAGGTTTAAGTTCAGGAGTGAAAGAGTAACTGGTTCAAGTGTGTTCACCTCACAGGCGTGGGACCCACCTTCAGCTCACCCTGTAAACTCCAAGTCCCCAAGTACAGACCTCGAGAACGTGTTCCAGCCCGCATTTCCCGCCCTTCTCTCCTTCCCTCCATCTCTCCTCGGCTCCCTCTGGCCTCCTTCCCCCTCGGCAGGCTTCTCCGTCCATCCTAGTGGACACTGGAATGCAAATCCCAGAGCCACACACGAAGAACGTGTTCCTTCGGTTCTCTGGTTTCCTAAATTTCCCTCTCACCTCTTTCCCACGCTTGCCAAGGACATCCTTGTACCTCAAATGCTCCTTCAGCAGAATTTGTATGAAGTTGAATTTGTACCTGGCAAAGCACATAGACGTGGCCTTGTTTCTGGAAGAAATTACCTGTTCTTTGTAGCTGCCGTTCTATGTGAGGAATTGGAAAACCTCATCTAAAAGGGACCAGATAGTACATAGTCTTGGCTTTGTGGGCCCACGTGGTCTCTGTTGTCTCAACGACTCAGCCCTGCTGCTCCAGCAGCCACAGACAGTCCCCAAGCAAACCGCCAGGCTCCCATACACTTTCCTGTCCCCAAGCAGGAGGCAGCCCGGCCAGCCTGCTGCTCCCGGGGCTTTGAGGGAGGGTGGCTGCCTCGTGAAGCCTCTTCCGTGACAGTGAGGAAGCGGGTGATGAGACCGGGGCTCAGAGCCGTGTGACAGCTCGAGCGATTGCATTGATCTCCCTTCCCATCCACACATGTTCCTCAAAACCAAGCTGCACCGCTCTTGTGCCATTAAGCAAAGTGTTGGCTCTGCGTCTGCCCCATCCATGTCCTCGGGCCAGAAGTCACAGGAGCACACCTGTGGGCGGACCTTATTTGAGTTTCTTATTTGAGGCAGCGAGGGAGCACCTGCGCCGTGGAGAACCAGCGAGTCTCTCAGCAAGAGGCTGTTGGAAAGAGCCTGTTCTAGGATGTGGGTTTTGACTGGGTGGTTTGGGGAGGGCCTTGGGAAATGTGATTTTGTTCTAAATTGAACGCTGTCAGAAAGTAGAGGCAACTCCATGACTGGGAATCTCAATACATCTCAGCAAAAGGACGGGAAGCATTGCATGACCATAGGCTGTAATTTGTAAAGAACTAATAACCACTTACTGTGGCCAAGAGAGGGGCATTGGTACTTCGTGGGTGACCTGTGAGCTTGTTCCTCTCTGTGCTTGGGCAGCATTCTAAAGAGGCCATGCCTGAGGCTGGTTGCTGTGAGATGGTTCTGTCTGGGAGACCTGGGCCAGCCTCAGAACATCAGCGGCGGCTCTGGGTTTCCTTGTTGGTGCAGAAAACACCCATTCCTTTGCTTTCTGCTTGGGGTGGAATGTTTTGGCCCCATCTTTTCATGATCACTCACACTCAGTCCAGCCCAAAGTGATTTGCTCCCAGGAGGCTGCGAGGTGAGCCAGCCACGAGCCCTGCCTGAATGTGGGCCGCTGCTCGGAGGAAGATGGTCAGCAGCTGCACAGGGCCCTCTAAGACAAGGCTTCCACAGTCCCCCTCGGGACCGCCGCCCAAGGGGCCCCTCAGGTCACATGGCACAAATCCACGGTGTGAGTCCACGGAGGCCACGCGTGTGCAGGTGGATGAGGATGAAGTGTCTGCAACTGTTGAGTGCAGATCCTGCTCTCTTTCCCTGTAGATGTCAACGAGTGTTTCTATGACGAGCTCAACACCTGTTCTGGAAGGGAACTGTGCACAAACCTGGAGGGCTCGTACCGGTGCGTCTGTCACCAGGAAGCTCCAGCCACGTCTCCCCGGAAGCTGAACCCCGAGTGTGAAGGTAACGGCTGGGCTCTCTTGGATGGCGTGGGAATGGCTTAATTTCTGGAATACTCACTGGCAGGGCTTGTGGCTGTAGCACTTACCCCGAGATAACTTTGCCATGAAATATCTTGCTTTTTCGCATTAATCTGCTGTATTGACTTTGGAAACAAAAGGCATTATTCTATTTATAGGATTCTGTTTTTAGTAGTGGTATTTTCATTTACAAAATACAGAGATTCTCAATCGCTGAAAATGTCAAATCCTAGAAAACAGCATTCCTCCGTGTGAGGCTCACATTGCTCTCGAACGAGTTTCTGGCCAGCGATTCATTTGCTGAACCCGGTTTCTCTGAAATAGATGATTCTGATGATTCAGGCGATTCTGCTGTTAGGTTTGTTTAGAAATAACTCCAAGAATAGTTTTTATATTTTATTTTCATACTGAAAATCAGATTTTCAACCGCAAAGAGCATGTTAACAGAAAATTAAATGAGCGCTGGCAGTGAGCGGCACTATTGTTTTTCTAAAGGGTGAAGACATTTTTAAAAGGCTGATTGGTCCTTAGACCACAGAGACTCTTCTTGCTGAGAGGGAACGGCTGGCTCACAGGCACAGAATATACTTAGTTCTTTCAACCGTTATTGATGTCCTGGTGGGCCACTCTTACATTCATTCTTTGGCTGAGGACATGCTTATTTAGGTGCGATTCACTGTGCTAAGTGCTGGTAACGGAAGCATGCCTCAGCAGGTCCTAATCTCTGCCTGTCTAGTGGACTGTGGAAATGGAGACATTTTGGCACATGAAAGGGCATGACCGATGTCTGCACTGGAACCTCAGGGATAAGCTGGGACCATCCCTAGCCTTGCAGGGTCAGCCTGGAGAGCAGAAGAGCCTGCTAGGCGTCGGGGGAAGCATGCGGAAGAACGTGCCCGGCTCTGTCCCTGCTGGAGTGGGGAAGGGTGTACCAAGCAGGACTGGCAGGCAGGATTGGCTCTGCCATCAGGCGGCTTGGAATAAGAAGTAACGGTGTAATCTGTAACACAGGGGGTGCTGTAAAGACGATACACAGAATGCAGGAGTCTAGGGGGCAGAAGGTGGTAGAGAAGGGGGTTCAGGCAACATTTTAGAGCTAGAACCCCTGGAACTTCCAGATGAATTCAGTGAAAAGAGGAAAAAGGAAAGAAGATGGAGTCCAGATGTCTTGATTGAACAAGGGAGTAGAGGGTGTTTCCACTGGAGGGACAGGGAAGACGCCGGCTGCTGTCATTGTCTATAGTGTTACAGCTGAGATGGAGCGAGTGGAGGCGCCAGGCTGCTGACTGAGTTGGACTCGTGGTGCTGGAGCTCCGAGGCGGGGCCGGCTGCATTCCTGAGTCCAGGGTCACCTGCCTCCAGGTGACACTTAAACCGCGGTATGACTGAGAGAAGGGAAGAGGCCTGGGGCCTGCGGCCAGAGAACCCCATCGGTGCCAGGTCAGTGCAGGAAGAGAGGCTGTGGAGGACGTGGGCACGGTGGGAAAACAGCAGCAAGGGCATCTGGGAAGGCTCAGCAAGCCCCAAGAGAGCAAGGGCAAGCCGTACGCTGGGCAGCAAGTGCGGAGGGCCACCGCCGGGCAGGAATGCGCCCCTGGGAACCTCAGGGATGGGGCAGGCTTAAGGAGAGCAGTCGGGAAGAAGCCGGCGGCCGGCCAGCCCTGGTTAGGAAGACAGCTGGAGGAGAGAAAGGGGCGACACCGGAGCTCTGCAGGGAAGCTTGACTGAGAAGAGGCCGAGGGAAGGGAGGCCGGATGTGGAGGAGGCTGTGGACTCCCGGGGGCCTCTCAAAAGACAGGCGATGCTGCAGGTGTACACACCTGCCAGATCCCGGGCTCTTCCTATTCCCTGTTCCTTTCCAGGTTTTGACCTTACCGAACGCAGGTTTTTATTTTTAACCTTATTTAAATCTTGCTACATGTGTAATTTTGTAAGCTGCTTTCTTCATTTCCTACAGAGTGCACAAAGTTTCCGAGAAGAAACCTGGTCTTCACAGGGATAATTACTGGTGCTTGAAAACTAATGGCCTTCTAAGGCAATCATATAATATTGCTCCGAGTCTATCACGGGAGCACTTCTGTGGCTTCCGAGGGTCTGAACTATAATATCGTGATAGGAGTGATGGAGAATGTCCTTATACCCAATTTGTATTCATTACTCATTTAATCTGCAGGTTCTTTCCCCTTAAAAGGGACTCGACAGTGAGGACAGTCCCATTGTTCACAATAACAGCAGAGCTGGTAGCTGCCAGGGACTTCACCCACACTGGCTCTGCTCTCAGCACTCTGTGGGTATTGCCGTGTTTAAATTCTTACAGTAACTCCAAGGGGCAACTACTCTTCTTAAGCTCATTTTTCAGAAGAGGAAATTGAGGCAGAGGAAGATCCTTTTCTTGCATGAGATCCCAAAGCTGGTTCTCTGCAGATACACATGAGCCAGGCTGCTCACGACTCCCCGCCGCCCCTGTCCCGAGACTGTCTTCCATAGGAGCCCTCAGGCAGGGGCCTGCCTGAGAGTGTGATGGCCTGTCCCCCATCTTCTGGGGATGCCCTCGTCCCAGCGCACCCAGGGAAACCGCCATGCCGCTTCCTACCTTCATGAGTGCTTAGGACCAAAAGTTGGGTTCAGTTCTAGAAAAATTACATTATTTTCTTTGGTGTTCCAGAATCTTACTTAAAAAAGCAGTATCAGGTTCTGATTTTTATTTATTTATTTATTTAGTTAGTTAGTTAGTTAGTTAGTTAGTTAGTAGAGACAGGGTCTAACTCTGCTGCCTAGGCTGGAGTGCAGTGGCGTGATCACCAGTCACTACAGCCTTCAGCTCCCAGGCTCCCACCTCAGCCTCGGGAGCAGCTGGGACCACAGGCATGCACCACCACAGATGGCTCTTTTTAAATTGTTTTGTAGAGACGAGGTCCCACTGTGTAGCCCAGGCTGGTCTCAAGCTTCCAGCCTCAAGAGATCCTCCCTCCTCGGCTTCCCAAAGCCCTGGGACTGCAGGCAGGAGCCCTTGTACCCAGCCTAAAGTTCTGATTGGCTGGCTCTTCTCAGTGTCTTGCGGGCAAGGGGTGGAGGGAGTGGACCAGTTCCCAGAGCCAGCTGTGGATGTGGGGGGCTCCAGGGTCAGATCTGCCTGCCCCCCAACCAGGAATGTTCCCCTCCTATCGGAATGAGGCTGTGTGGGGAGAGCCGCCTCGCCTTCTGCCTGCTGGTAGATGAATCCCTGGTACCCCGCAAAGAGCAGGCACTCCCTAGATGTTTCCTGGATCACTGTGGCCATCCCCAGAGTCTCCAGGTATTACAAAAAAAAAAAAAAAAAAAGAAAAGAAAAAAAAAGGCAAGTTCCAGCCCAGATCTGGCAGCAAAACACTCAGAACACTCTACTACCCTGCAGTACGTGGCCTTGAGATCCACTTAGACCTGCATGCCCCCTCCACACACCACAACACCCACTAAGCTCTGCAAAGAACCGTCTATAGGTTTCTACTCCGTGGCTTCCAGGGTGAGAGTCCTGTCCCTTTTGTGAGCACAGAAGATTGAAAAACAGGTAGTTTCCAAATAGTTATTTTTACCCTGGTCAGTCATCTGGAAAAATATTAGATTCTATTCGTGGTTGGCAGTCACACTCTGCTGTGTTGCTCAGCACAGTGAGCTGCCAGATTGCATCAGGACACAGGGCCGCTCGAGCAACCTCCACACACAAACGGGAGGTCCTGGCTTCACTTCGGATAGGGCAGGACACGCTCATCCGGGGTTGCCAGGTCCGCAACACAGAGTGAATTCCAAGTGCGTGTTGCTAAGGGAAACAGCGGCCCCAGCACCTTCCCTGCTGAGCCAGAGATGGTGACAGCTGCCTGGAAGAAGCAAGGGCCCAGACTGTCAGATGTGGAGAATTCAGGGTGTTTTACCCAGGAAGAGGCAAAGGGCTGGACTGGTGTTCCTACCTGTGGAGGGGAAGGGCTGTGAAGCAGGAGCTCTGGAGCCTGGAGTTTGAATTATCCACATTGTCATGCCCTTGGGTCACACAAACACAGAGTCAAAAGCAGCACTTTCTAGGGCCACATTTTAAGGGGACACTGAAAAGGGTCCCCATTTAAGGGTAACCAAAGGAGGGTGTCCTGGCTAATAAAAAAACAATAACCAAGTTATAGGGGCCTACCTTGGAAGGGAGGGGTCAGGGGTAGAAGGAAGATTTCTAATTTTAAAACACCCCAAGGTCTGTCCAACAAAAGAGAGATTGACCGTAGCGTGTCAGAAGTTGGTTGGTTTTGCAATACAAAGAAAACTCTCTGGCCAGGCACAGTGGCTCACATCTGTAATCCCAGCACTTTGGGAGGCTGAGGCGGGTGGATCACGAGGTCAGGAGTTCAAGACCAACCTGGCCAAGATGGTGAAACCCCATCTCTACTAAACATACAAAAATTAGCCGGGTGTGGTGGCAGGTACCTGTAATCCCAGCTACTCTGGAGGCTGAGGCAGAAGAATCGCTTGAACCCAGGAGGCAGAGGTTGCAGTGAGCTGAGATCATGCCACTGCATTACAGCCTGGTGAAAGAACAAGACTTTGTCTCAAAAAGAAAAGAAAAGAAAAGAAAACTCTCCAAGCTGTGTTGTTCAGCCACAGGAGCAGCTGCCTTGAAAGTTAGTCAAAGAAGAAGGGTTGGGAGATACATAAATTTCCTGGGTTTTCCTAACAGAGACCCCTGAACTAGGTGGCTTCGAACAAGAGAAATGTATCCTTTCACAGTTCCAAAGACCAGAAATTTGAGATAGTTACCACTGGGCCCAAATCAGGATGGCAGCAGGGCTGTGTGCCGCAGGCGCTAGGGGAATTCATTCCTGCCCCTCTGCCCTCTGGTCTCTGTGCCGGAGGTGCTAGGAGAATTCATTCCTGCCCCTCTGCCCTCTGGTGGTTGCCAGCATTCCTTGACTTGTGGCTGCATCACTCCTTCTTCTTGTTGGCTTTTTTGTTGTTGTTGAAAGGGTCTTGCTCTGTCACTCAGGCTGAAGTGCAGTGGCACAATTTTGGCTTACTGCAGCCTCCATCTCCCAGGTCAATTGATCCTCCTACCTCAGCCCCCCACGTCGCTGGGACTACAGACACACATCACCACGTCTGGCTAATTTTTGGATTTTTTGTAAAGATGGGGTCTCACTATATTGCCCAGGCTGGTTTCGAACTCCTGGGCTCAAGCCATCCACCCACGTTGGCCTCACTAAGTGCCAGGATTAGTCGTGAGCCACCATGCCTAGCCCCACTCCATCTTCAAAGTGAGAGTCTTTGTTCTCTCTCCACCTCTCCACTCCAGCTTCATATTGCCTGTGTGTGTGTGTGTGTGTGTGTGTGTGTAAATCTCCCTGATTCTCTCTTATAAAGACACTTGTGATTGCGTTTAGGATGGACCTGGGAAATCCAGGATAATCTTTCCGTCTGAAGATACTTCACTGAATCACATCTGCAAAGATTTCTTTTCCAAATAAGGTCATATTCTTAGGTCGCAGGGATTAGGACCTGGTATCTTTGAAGGTCATGATTCAGCCTACTACCGTGATAGGGTAGCTTAGTAGCAGAGCAGGTGAACTCTGCCATTTGCTATTGTTCAGCTTTGCCATTTACCACCTCATTGACCTTTCTAGCCCTCAGTTTTGTCCTCTGTAAAATGGGGATCCTAGATCCTATTCCCTGGGATTGCTGTAAGGACTGCAGAAGATACCATGCCTGGTGCACACAAGACCCAGGAAACTTTACCTATAACCATGTCGCCAATAGCTTGGCTGGTTTGTGACATGGATGTCATGGGAGGGAGTGCTGCAGGGGGCTCATGCCAGGGAGTTAATTCATAGCTCCCTGCAAGTTCCTACCATGGCTGTTAATGCAGGCTGTGCTGGCTTGGACACTGTGGACGTTAACTCAGCATTGTTTTCTCAGTGCTTATGGTGATGCTGGGTGCATAGTAGATGCTCAAAAAAAAAAAAAAAAAAAAAAAGAGCCATAAGAAATTGGTGCCCTCATTGGTCAAACATGGTCAAATATGGACAATGCCAAATGCCTCAAAGTAACAGACTGGAGAAAGGGCTGCACAGCTATCGGATGGGAACGTCGGCCTCAGGGAGACTGCATTCCTTTGGATTAGATGAGATTCTCTTTCTCCAGATGCACGCAATCTCTCTTAGCTGCAGAATTCACCGATGGCAGCTTCTGCAGATGCCTCGGAGGGTTTCACGGCGTTTGAAACACCAGGTTTGCAAGTCCCCCATCCAGTGATCCAAAACGCCACTGGTATCTTAAATTAAAAAGGAAATACGTTTATTAAAAGAGGTAAAGTATGCATTGCCAGCCCTGTGCCCTCTGAGCCTTCTTTCCAAACACTATTCCTCTGCGTTCTCTTCAAATTCATACAGACGCCGTTTTAATTTTAACTCCACTCTGCTCGGAAGCACTCCTTATAGAATGTGCTTCTAAGTGGCCGGTAATCTGGGTGGGCCATCTGTTGTCCCACCCATGTGCTCTCTCGCTCCATGTCGAGTTTGAGAGGATGGTAATGAGGAGGCCGGGCTGGAGCTCTGGGTGTGGGCTGGGGGCTGCTGTTCAAGCTGCTGTGCCTGCTCGCGTTGACCCACTTTCCTATCTGCAGGGCGTTTCGCTGTCACCCCATCCTCCACTGATGTGGATAAAAAAAAATGCTTCGGGCTGTGTCCTGACTGCACAAAAATAGAACTGTCAGTGCTTTTAGCAGACTTTTTGGAAAGGCAATTGTAGCCCTTCCTTCCTTTCTCAGTGAGACATATGTTCCCAAGAAACAGACTTTAAAAAGCTGAGTGGTTGTTAGAGGGCCAGGCAGTGGGGGGTCTTTTTGATTTCAGGGTTCCAGTGACCCTGGAGACGGGGGTGCCACCCACAATCTCAGGTCCCTAGCTTTCGGCTACCCTCAGTTGAAGCATTTCTGCTTTTCTTGCCACAAAAGAAAATACCATAAAGTATGAACCAGCATCCATGTCTGGTTCTCTGCTCAGTATGCAGAAAGTCGCTGGACAATCCTGTAAAAAGTATAGATGTGTCTTTTAAAAACTGTGTTCTACCTCGCACCCTAAAAGTGTTATTAGGACGCATCAGAATTTGGATGGATGTCACTAACCCTGTCCGAGTGAAGCCTGTCCAGATTCCAGTAACAGATGCCCATCTACTGGGAGGTGGAGTGGCAGGTTTTCATTGGAAAAGCTCACCTTCACAGGGACCGAGATTCAAAAGAGGCAGCTTAGTCTCGGGTTGGAAGGAAGAGACAGCAGGGCTATCTCACCTGGTGGTGACTGGGCACTACATTGGATTCTGAGCCTCTTGACAGCCAAGGTAAAAAGGGAAATGAGTTGGATTGTTGGTTTTCTCTTTTTTTAATTTGTTATTGAGAGAAAGCAGATACATGTGTCTAAAAACAGAATTTTTTCATGATAATGGAAAGCATATATCCTATCAATCCTTGCATAAAAGGCTTTGGGAAGCCACACATTATGCAATTATTAGTTTCTTTACCATGGTTTTGCAAACTACACTTTAAAAAGTTTCTCATTGCTTTTTTTTTTAATAGAACTTACCTTCCGATGTGAAAATATTGGTGGCTAACCTGGGGGCCATCTAGTTTTTATATAATTCTTACTGCCCAGATACTTGCTGTACAGCCAGAATTTTTTCAACCAAAAAAGAGCTTCAGTGCTCTTTGAGCACTAGAATATATATAGGTTGGTACATCAGAGCTTTGCTCCCTAAGGCATAGATTTCAATAGGAAAGCATAAACAGGGTGATAAAGGAAACAGCCTGAGTCCTGCTTCCTGATGGGTCATTGTTTACTGCGTGATGAGTCAGCCCAGTGCAGAAGTTCTTGTGCAAATGATCAAGTGCTTGTCATGAATCAGAGTGGCTCAGGGCCCTGGGACAGGCTGGCAAGGGAGTATTTGCAGATGTGGCACCGAAACCTTACACTGTCAGGGCCATTGCTACAGATGTTTTCTGTACAATGACTGCTGATGGGTCCCGAAAGAGAGAGAGCGTTCCGACTTTGTAGTAACCACAGATTCTGGACCTCAATGAGCCCCATGACTCAACGCTATTCCCGGTGTAGACCGAGGCACACCTGGATGACCCCCACCCTCTAACATGGCTCAGTGACTGACAGAGGGGCTGTGCTTTCAGCTTCAGACCTCTTCCTTCTCCGTTTCATCTCAGATATCCCGTCACCTAGCGCAATCCTGAACTACCTTCCAAAATTACTCAGAAGCCTGGAGAGAGAGAAGATCGAGGCCTCTGTTTTGAATGAATGGGTTTCATTTATAATTGGTTAAAAAAAAAAAAGCAAGTCCTGTCCCCCATGGGTCAACTTGATCAATAGATCGGCGGGAACCAAGCTGAGGCGAGGCTGCATCACGTGCTTCAGAAGATAAAGCCGCCCTCGCTGACCCTATGCTCGTCTCCTCTTTCCGTGCTTCCACAGATTGCCCTACACTCAGTGACTATATGATCCTCAACGTCACCGGTGGCAGTTTTCAAGTATCCTGGCGTCTGAATTCTACGCAGAACCGCACTTTCTATGTCCGGGTTTACCGGGGTGAGACGTTGCTCAGGAGTGCCAGGACACGGGGCCTGGCACTGGCGGTGTCTGGGCTGGAGGCTGGAGTGCTCTACAGGGTGAAGACCGGCTACCAGGGGTGCGGGGCAGACATCTCCACCACACTGACCGTCAAGACCGGTAAGGCCACCAGCCAGAGACCCACGTTAGCTCGCAAGCTTGCCTCCCTCGATCCCAGGCCTGGGTCGTTTTCCTATAACCAGGGCACCAGTAGTTTCGGACGTCTCTGCATTTCCTCCGTCCCCTCTGAGCTGTCCCACAGCCTGCCCCGCGTGCACTGGCCCGCTGGGACCTTCCCGGGCTCCCTCGCTTCCCTACGTCTCGTCCTGTTCAGGGCTCTCTCTGCCCTGAGAGGGGTGACGTGTGGACTCAGAAGCAGCAATAAGGCATCAGCTAGAGGGAAGCAAAGAAATAAAATTGTAATAATGAAGCAGAAGGTGGCAGCTCCTGGCAGGCAGATCGGGACCTGTCATGCTCACCCTGCGGCGCTGAGGCCGTCTGAGTTCCCTGCCCGTGAGAGGAGCATTGCCATCATTTTCAAGCCTTGCTTCCACGTGATGCGTGTAGAGGGAATGCAGTGCCCGCCATGTTTGTGCTGGGAGGACACTTTTTTTCTTTTTGAGACAGGATCTTGCTCTGTCACTCAGGCTGGAGTGCAGTTGTGCGATCACAGCTCACTGCAGCCTTGACCCCTTGCCTTCAAGTGACCCTGTGATCCTCCCACCTCAGCCTCCCTTGTAGGTGGGACCACAGGCACACACCACCATGCCTGGCTAATTATTTAATTTTTCATAAACATGGAGTCTTGCCAGGTTGCTCGGGCTGGTCTCAAACTCCTGGGCTTAAGTGACCCCAGGAGGTAAAACTCAGGGATCACTTGAGCAGCTCCCTCCCCACCCCACCAACCCCGAGCCCTCAGGAAAAATACTTACATTCCGACATCAGGCACAAATAATTTGGAATACTCTAGAAGACTCTTGAATTACCAATCTATTCCACATCTCAGCATCTTCTTTGCTTCTCCATATTATACAAATGCTTTTTTTTTTTTTTTGTAGAGCCTTTTTTAAGCAGCTCAATTTGCGCTTGTCTAATTCCACCTTGTCTAATTTCTCCTTGTCATGAGCCTGTGACGCTGGGAGGCAGCAGGTGTTACGGTGGCAGCTGACGCCTAGAGCCTCCAGGGAGTCCAATTCCAGGGCCCTGGAGGAGGCCGCCTGTCCACAGGGCTCTGGGATTTGTCGGGGCCTGAGAGATGGGGGACACAAGGGGTGCCCCTCCCTCTTGCTAAGACAGGAGATCTACAGGGGCCCTAACTGGGAAATATACAACATACAACATTGATGGCATTTCTGCGGCCTTAAGTGTGGCGTGCATAGGTGACACACTCTCTGATGGCCCATAGCTTGCCAGCTGGGAGAGGGCCAGGGTGGGGCACAGCTGTGGGTGGCTGTTAGATAACTGGACAACGGTGCAGAACTGTGGTTGGTCTGCTCCTGAGCCCGCTGGCTCTTGGGTTGTGCATGCTGGGTTTCCTCTTAGTAATGAGAGACGAATATTCCCGTGTCCCATCTTGAACCTTTTCTCCATCTTTGTTAATGTCCAAAAATAAGGCAACCTCTCTTGTACGTGAGCAACCCTACCAGATTGACTGTCACAGAGCATGTTCTTGAGAGGTGGGACTTTCAGAGCTAAATTCTGGGACGTCCCCAGGCAGGTTGGAATCTGTAGGTCACCCTGATGTTGGAGGCCTGAGTAAGGGCCCCATGTGAGTACACGCTGGGCCCTGTGATTGTGAATAGGGCAAAGGAAAGCTGCAGTCACCCCACAGGAAAGGATCCTCTGGGCGCTGGTTGAATCCCAGGTTCTGTGGGTATGGCCTGTGTGTGACGTGTGTACCTCCTTCCTGGGATGCCTCTGCCCTAGACGTAAAAGTGTGTGTTCATTCTTTCATTTCTTACATTTATTTCCCCCAATTAGGATACCTCAATCTAAGATTCATGCCTCAATCTATTAAAAAAAAAAATTCCTCGCCAAAGAATAGGCTTCATGGAAAACATTAACAGAAAGGAGTGCGACTTTTGACCACAGGCTGATTCGTTTCATTGTCTGTTTCAGAAGCCCGGGTATTTGAAGTCAGAATAAAGATCATAAACCGGAACTTGACGGAGCAGTTACGTGACCTCAGCAGCGTGGAGTACCAGGACTTTTCTAGACAACTGCTTCACGAGGTAAAGCCACAATGCACACACAGAAACCTTTTCTTGGGTGTTTTGAGTGAGGCCATCACACAGAAGCCGTTAATTCCTGTCCAGCTCTTCCTCTGGGATTGTGGCAAAAATACATGTTATTTCAGCTTCAGGGGAGGCCAGACGCAAATCGCACAGTAATTTCTCAAAAGCTTCCCCCCTGCTTTCATTTGGTACTTAATCCAGATACTGGGGCCATCCATCTTTAAAATACGTGCCTTTATTCAAATGGTCTACACCACTTAATCCTACTGCTGGGTTTTCTGTGGAAGCTTCTGTCTGAGGGCTCTGTCTTCCATCTCTGGGGTAGCTTCATTAGCGAAGCATCTACTGACAGTCACGGCATCCATTCCTCCCTCGTGGCTAAAGGGAGACATCAGCAGACAGCCAGGGAGCATTGGGCCAGTGTGGAGCACCATCTATCCACAGATGGGGCGTTGGAGAGAAGAGGGACTTTCTAAGCTGCCAAGAGTCATATAAGGTCTGAGGTTTTACCCTCCCTGCAAACTCACAAGTGAGTCTGCCACAGTTTCATGGATACTGGCAGAAGACATGAGACTCCTGGGCCAGAGACAAAAGACTGTATTACTCACAGCACAGCAGGCAGCACGCATGTGCTTTTGTGCCATTTCCTGCACCTGAGTCCCACAGAGGTGATGCACAGGGGCCCAGGGGAGTGAGGAGCACAAAGTGGGTCTGCACCTGAGCTGCGGAACCCTGATCCCAGGGAACCTGAATCTTTTGTAATGGGTGCAGGCACTCGCTCCAGAAGTAGAAATTATCTGTTACATTGGACAGTAACAAGCCTGCCCTTTGCTCTGGAGGGGGCCACTATCTCTGCCTGTTCACTATGCAAACATCCTTGGAAAGATATTCTGGAACAAAAGGGCAGTTAGTGCTTCTACTTGCAAGATGTGTAGAAATGCCGGAGAGCCGCAGAGGAATGCTTCCCAACATTCACCTGCAGGGGAATCCAGTTTTGAATGTTTTCAGATAATTCCTTCCTTTTTAATGTTAACTCATTGTATATGCAAGTGTGGGGTGGTGGAAAGGCAGGGAACCAGGCTGGTATCTCCCTTGCTTGGGCATGGGTAGTCCTGAGCACCTGGCTCCATGTGTGTGTTTTCTGCAGGATACAGCCTAGTAAGTGAGGGGACAGCTCCAAATGGCCATAGGCATCGCTCCTTGGTGGGGCCTCTCCATCTCTCAATCCATCCATCAATCAGCCCAGTAGTCTTTCTCACACTCTCACATGTGACCTTCGCACCAGTTTTCAGGACACTCAAGAGGGGATTGTTCATCTGATGCTCCAGGACTGGGAGCTTGATTGCAGTGGTCACTGTGAGTCTCCAGCACACACCAGGCCAGGCCCGGCCGGCCCAGCGAGAGCTCAGCTCAGGTGCTGGGAACGGGAGGCTCTCTGCTTGCTCTGAGAGGTCGGCTGCTGGGTGCCTCCTGTTGATTGCAGAGGAGACACACGGGTCCATGCGCCATCCATCGGTCGTGCCTGGAACCCTGCTTAATGGTGGTGAAGACGTGCGTGGATGTCTGCCCTGTCTGAGTAGCTGCTGCCTCTTCTTGGCTAGGTTGAGAGCTCCTTTCCGCCGGTGGTGTCTGACTTGTACCGAAGTGGGAAACTGAGGATGCAGATCGTGGCTCTCCAGGCGGGAAGCGTGGCCGTGAGGCTCAGGCTCACCGTGCAGGACCCCAAGATTCCTGTGGGTGTCTCCGCGCTGGCCCCCATGCTCCAGCCCCTGCTGGCAAGCACGGTGTTCCAGATTGACCAGCAGGGGACACTCGTGCAAGGTACAGTCTGGCCACCCGCTCTGCTGCCTGCTGCCCTCCAGCTCAGAAGTCCTCTTGGCGACTTTATTTGAGTCAGTCTTTCCTTTATCTCAAAGGGTAAAGAAATGCAAATCCTTATTCTAGCTTCCTCCACCAGAACCAGGGGCTGGGGCAGTAGCCCTGAACAGCCCACCTGCGTCTTACTGGTCAGCCCAGGACACTGAATGGAACGGGGCTGGAGGGTCCCCTCTGGGGAAGGGGACAGGAGTTCACTGTGCCTGTGGTCAGGGCCCCCCAGTGCTTCTGGGCAGCTGTGCAATTGCCCACCTGTGGGTCTATTTTTTTGAGACAGAGTTTTGCTCTTGTTACCCAGGCTGGAATGCAATGGCATGATCTCAGCTCACTGCAACCTCCGCCTCCTGGGTTCAAGTGATTCTCCTGCCTCAGCCTCCTGAGTAGCTGGAATTGCAGGTGCCCACCACCACGCCTGGCTAATTTTTGTATTTTTAGTAGAGACATGGTTTCACCCTGTTGGCCAGAATGGTCTCACCATGTTGGCCAGCTCAGATTATCCACCCAACTTAGCCTCCCAAAGTTCTGGGATTATAGGTGTGAGCCACCGTGCCCAGCCTCTGTGGGTCTATTTCATTACCCTGTGTGTTATTTCATTTTACTTGGTGTTGCCTTGAAGCAGGAGGTCATGGACAGAGGACAGCTGAAAAGACAGAGAGATAAAGAGAGAGACAGAGAGGCACGGAGAGCAGGGTTTTGCTGTCCCACAGCAGGCACAAAGCTCTCTCCTCGCTCGGAGGCCAGACGTAGTCTCTCCATCCACAGGCTCCAGTTTTGGGCTCAATCTGTGGAGTGAGCGTCTCCTGGGGTGCTGGGTCTTGGAGCTCAGCCACATGCTTGCTTGCTGTCCCAAACTTCCCCCACCAGGAGGTGCTGGGAAGAACTGGGGGCGGGGGTGTGTTGGGGGCATCTGCGCTTCAAAATCGTGCCTGGAAACCTCAGCCTGGGGGTCACTCTGTTTACTTGGCAGCCCCTAAGGATGGAGATACTGCAATGGCCCTTGTACCTAGTAAGACCCCACCTAGCTGGGCTGCAGGGTAGAGCCTAAGGGTGGGTCCACAGTGTATGCCCCCAGCAGGGTGCTCAGCGTGTGACCCCGTGATCCAGCCTTCAGAGGGATCCAGCCTTCAGACGGATGCAGCCCAGCCCGTCCTCCACACCTCCCTGCCTCCCTCCCCCTGTCCCCTGGGACCGGGGCTCGGGCGATGCTGCAGCCCGGCCAAAGGAGCACTTGGACAGCAGGGATGTCATGGTTGAATGGTGGCCCCTCCAAAAAGATATGTTCACCTGGAATTTCAGAATGTGACCTTATTTGGAATAAGGATCTTTGCAGATATGATTAAGGTGAGGATGTCAAGATGAGGCCCTCCTGCCGCTGGATTTGGGGTGGGCCTGAAGTCCAGCGACAAGTGTCTTTTTATGAGACAAGAGGTGGAGACACAGATGCAGAGGCCAAGTCTGGAGTGATGCAGTCACAAGCTGAGGACTCATGGCGCCACGAGATAGGACACCGGAAGAGGCACAGGAAAGCCCCTTTTACTGGAGCCCAGAGGGAGGGCAGCCCGGCTGATATCTTGAGTTTGGACTTCTGGCTTCTGGAATGGCGGGAATACATCATCTGTGTCGTTTCAGGACCCCCAGCTGGTGGTGTTCAGGATAGCAGCCACAGGAGGCTCATGTCTTGCATCCTGAGGACTGGATGCTCTGTCTTAAGTATTCCCATCGCCCATACCCCATGCAGTTCCAGTGGCCCCGCAGAAGGTGTTAAGCTCCTTGGGCAGGCTCTTGCCCGGCAGGGTCCCCGCAGGCTTTGGGTTGCTTCCTACACGTTTCAGAGCTGAGGTGCTGCCGCGGGCCAGTCCCTGAGCTGTGGGGTTGGCTGTGTGGCCAGCAATGGTCATGCCTTGGTCTGTGCGTGGCTGGGGAGACAGCCCTGCCTCTGCTATTTTTTGGCTCCGTTACCGCTGGTGTCTTCAGACTCCAGGGCTGGGGGAGGAACCATGAGCACCGCCCCCACCTGGGGAGGCAGCATGAGGCCCGAGCCCAGCTTCCAGGGGGACTCCCGCCCCACCTTCACAGCGAGGACCTGCAGAAGACATTTGATACCACTCTGCAAAAACAAAAAACAAAAAACAAAAAACAAACCAAAAAAAAACACCAAGAAACCAGAACACAAAAAGAGCTCCTTGGAAGAAGAAAAGGCATTTGTGCTGTGGTCCACGTGGAAACACGGTCATTGGCACACCTGGAGCTTCCTTGAGTCATTCAGGAGCACGCACTGCCGGTGGGTGAGGAGGGCTGCAGCCCGTGCAGGGGTCATGTTGTCATGACCTTGTCTGTACCCTTAGGCCATCCATCCTGGGGCCTGGGGTTTCCTGAGCCAGTCATGGTGAACCGTGTAGGTGGCCACGTTTCCAGTCCTTTCCCGGGAGGATACACCCTATGCTGGGAGGCCTGGAGGCCGAGCCAGCCCTGTGCCAAGGAGCCGCCCGCTCACAGCGCAGCCAGGCCTCCTGCTCACCGCCTCATAGGAGGCGGCGGGACGGGTTGGAATCCCAGCTCTGACACTCACTATGCGACGCTACACAGATGACTTCCTCTTTCTGGGCCTCAGGATGCTCCTCTGTGAAATGAGATTACAGCAACATGCCCCCTCCTGTGGTGGGGGCGGGAAATCAAGGGACAATGCCTGTGTGGGTTTGGCCCAGCGCCTGTGCGTGGCGACGGGGCATTTCTGATGTTCCTCCCGCGTTCAGGGTTAACCCTCTTCCAGGATTGACTTTCATATCTTGGCTGAGAGCTCACCTAGGAAGGTCCCCTAGCAACCGTTGGGTTCCCACTGGTCCTTCCTGGTCCCGGGGCTCCTCTCTCTGCCCCTCACATCACTCTCATTCAATTTCTTGCTCCTAACAGCACGGCCCCTGCTCGTCCTCTTCCCCATTCTCAGGAGAGATTCTCATACCGTGCCTGTTTGTCCTAGAGTGAGGGCCACCACTGGGCTTCTGCGGGGCACCGCTGTGAACCTCTGTACCGACCTTGGCCAGAGGAGCGGGACCCCCGCTGGCATCCTTCTGCATGAGAGACCGTGTGGGTCTTCTGGGGCCCCAGAATCACACTGCTTCTCCTGCAGCCAGTCAGAGTAGATTGAGCTGAGCTCCCCAAAGCTTTCGGTTGGGCCCCTGCTCCCACCGGCCTCGCCACTATGCCAGGCCTTTCCAGCCCCTCTGCAGAGTGGGAGAAAGGCCGTGAGCGAGGGTCCTGGCCTGGGGCTGTCCGTTCCCCTCGCCTGCTGGCCAGGCTCACCTATTGCAGGCTGCTTCCTTTCCTTAGGCTCGCGGGCACCGCGGTTTGTCCAGCGTCCATTCATGGTGGCATTATGCCCAGGTGCTCTGTGCCCTCTTTCTCCTAGTGTGAATCTGACACATGGCCCCAGGAGGGTCTGAGGGGCATCACTTCCAGAGAACACCCTGGGCCCTGAATGACAGCTCATGGTCCTACAGAGGAACCTACGCCTTGCTGGGACAGAGTGGCCCAGGGGGTCCGGGGTCTGTACCTGCTCCCAGACCCTCTCCAGCTTGTTGTTCTGGGTGGGGCCAGCTCAGGAGGGGCACCTGGGCTGGGAGCCTCTGGAGCAGCTGCCCCCACCACTCCAGGAGAGGGCTCAGCCCTTGTCCCAGCTGAAGGGCCACTGGGAGGAGCGTACAGCATCCTGCCCTGGGCTCCCGCCCCCTCAGTGCCCACGCCTGGCCAGCCCGGGAGGCTGCAGAGGCTCACTGGCAGCTCTTCTGCTCCCACACCTGCCTCTTCCTTTGAACTGCAGGGCCGGCAAGCCTCAAGGCTTAATGCAAGACTAAATACAGCTGTCAGCGCCTTCCTCTGAGCTTACTTGGGAGCTGTCTGGGGGAACGGGGGAGTGAAGACTAGGTGAATCACCACGCACCAGAATAGACACCAGGTGCTTGGTGGTTTGAGCCAGCGTCTTGCCTGGTGCCTCTGCTGTCCTCTGTGGACAGCAGCCCAGCCAGCCTACGCTCCAGCCCCAACCCGGAGCACCCCAGGAGAGGTACCTGCAGGCTGGAGGTTGAGTAGCCCCCCCAGGAAAAGGTGTGGGCTGGCACCAGCGGTGTTCTGACGGCAAGGCAGCCTCCGGGCCATGCCAGCGTGGTGGCACAGCTGTTGCGTTGTTCTCCGGCGAAGCTGCTTCTGTGGAGACAGAAGCAGCACACAGGAAAAACCATGCAAGGAGCCTCTAAGCACTCAGCGGCAGCATTTTCTTTGCATGCACCTGAACTGGTCCCGCATCATGGCTTAAGTTCCAACTGAGTCGGAGCTTCTCTGGCACTCTGGGCATGGGTTGGTTCCTGGGCACCTCCACCTGCAGCTTTGCAGAAAGCACTCACAGAAGGCACTGTCACCATCTTGCAGGGCCCGCTCCGATGACCCCTGCTCAGTCACCCCCATGGGAACTGCGTTGTCCTTGTCCCCGCCCACCTTCCCCTAGGCAGGCCCCCCAGTGACATGACTTCCCACGTCTTTGGGGCACAGGAGGAAGCGCACACCCACTGAGTGGTCTAAAATAGGCGTGGCAAGTTCATGTTAGACTCCGGTGGACCCCCGCCCCAGCTCAGTCATTTTTCTGTTTCTTGGTTGAGCAGTAAGTACTGGAGAATGTGGGCACATTAGGGAGAGGAGAAAGCAGTTCAACTTTTTGGGTGTGGAAACAGAGAATAAATAAGAGAGGGATATGTGCACACCTGTGGGTGCTAATATCACCTAAAGGAACCAACAGTTTCCTAATCTTTGTCCCCAAATTAGCCAACCAATGTGAAGGTAGACATGGGCAGGCCACAAGCTGCCACTGAGGGTGTTGGACGATGCCCTACGTCTGCCCCAAAAGTGCCCCTGCTCCGGCCATTCACTGCAAAGATGGCCAGGGAGAAGTCCTTCCGCGTGGGTCTGTCTTCTGATCACTCTGGCCATTTTCTCCTGAGTCTTGTCTTGTGTCTCCCCCGGCAGACTGGGACGAGTGCTTGGACAGTGCGGAGCACGACTGCGCGCCGGCTGCCCAGTGCGTCAATCTGGAGGGCTCATACACCTGCCAGTGCCGCACAGCCAGGGACGCCATGCCCTCCCGTGCGGGCCGGGTCTGTGAGGGTGTGTATTCTCCCCTACACCACCAACTCCGGGAAGGGCCACTGCGTGGGGATCTGGGGGTGAGACAGGGTCCGATTCTCCATCAGGCGCAGTGCTGAGGACCTCTGGTCATGTTAGGGGCTCACGGAAATGTTTCCTTTCAATTTCTTTTAAAACCAGAAGAGAAATTAATAGAAGGATAGTAAATATACATAAAACAATGAATCCAGCCTGGATGACACTCATCTCTATCCAAATGCCATTATAAAGTGTAATTTTTGATAGATTTTTAAGTGGAGAGGCACAGGGGTCCATGAAGGCCAAGTTCCTTGGGCCCACAGAAGTCGCGAGGGGGGCCCCTGAACTCTAGAGCTGCTGAATCAGCCCCACATCTTTTCTGTGGGCTCGTTCTGACTGGGTGGGTTCGGGGATACCTGGAGGGCTGAGTTGAGCAGCAGGAGGAGGCCACATGCAGACCTAAAATGCAGTGACTGATTAGCAATGTCCGCCCAGGGCACTGGGGGTGGCAGAGGCACCCACACACCGGCTTGCCAGCCCCCGACGAGGCCTTTCTAGCTAGGAAGTCAGCGGCTGAGGCCTGTTCCCTGGGAGAATATTCCTTAGCCGCGGCGTGTGCTGACCGCTTCCTAACATTCCACGCTTGACTTCTCCTGCGTTTTTTATTTACCTAATGTCCTGCTAGCCGATGGCAGCACCAAGTCCCACACTGAGCACAAATCTGGGGGACGTTGTCCCATTTTCCAAAGTCCTGATGGATCAGTCTGAGGCTTGTGAGAACCAAGCCCTGCATTCAAGTTGGGGTTGTGTAGCCCCGTGCCAGGTGGATCCCTCACCCTCAGCTTCAGTTTCCTCATTTATCCATCAGAAATGCGTGACTTGCCTTCAGGGAGCCCCAGGGAGCCCCAGGGAGCTTGTAAACACCGGCCGGTGAGGCACTCCTGAACGCTGGCTGAGCCCGCCTGCTTCCCTTGCCTAGCTCCACATGGATGCAGAGCTGTCCTGCTGCACGTGGGTGGGATCCAGCAGGCTCTGACAGTGGATGTGTTTTGGCAGGTGACCTGGTGAGCCCCACGGGCGGTGGGCTGTCTGCAGCAGCAGGGGTCACGGTCCCAACTCTTGGCACAGGAACAACAGCCGTCGGCTTAGAGAACTTCACCTTGTCACCCAGCCCTGGGCACCTTCGGGGCACCCCAGCAGCAGGCCAGGCCTGGACCCCAGGGCCCCCACCCAGGAGAGGGGGCAGCAGTGTGGTTGGGTATGACAGGAATAACACAGGAAAAGGTGTGGAGCAGGAGGCGCCCAGCACTGCCCCAGGTTTGGGGATGGACCAGGGGAGCCAGGCAAACTCTAGTCAGGGGAGCACCAGCCAGGGGAGCACCAGCCAAGGGAGCACCAGCCAGGCAAGTCCTAGCCAGGCAAACCCTAGCCAGGGGAGCCCCAGCCAGGCAAACCCCAGCCAGGGGAGCACCAGCCAGGGGAGCCCCAGCCAGGCCAACCTCAGCCAGGTGAGCCACAGCCAGGGGAGCTCCAGCCAGGGGAGCCCCAGCCAGGCAAGTCCCAGCCAGGCAAGTCCCAGCCAGGCAAACCCCAGCCAGGGGATCACCAGCCAGGGGATCACCAGCCAGGGGAGCACCAGCCAGGGGAGCCCCAGCCAGGGGAGCACCAGCCAGGTGAGCACAAGCCAGGCAAGTCCCAGCCAGGCAAGTCCCAGTCAGGCAAACCTCAGCCAGGGGATCACCAGCCAGGGGAAGCACCAGCCAGGGGAGCACTAGCCAGGCAAACCCTAGCCAGGGGAGCACCAGCCAGGGGAGCACCAGCCAGGGGAGCCCCGGCCACAGGAACACTGTCGGGGTGATGGGCACCACCTCCTCCCTCAAGGCTCCGGGGTCAACCCACAGCTTCCCTCCTGGGGCCACAGATGGCCCACTGGCCCTCCCTGAACAGTTACTGGGAAACTCCACCATGGAGCCATCCTGGCCTTCCCCTACCAAGGGCCCCAGTGGCCATGTCATGTGGCATGCCACCCGTCCCACCTGGGAAACACTTCTGAATCCCATGTGGCTGCAAAATGAGGACAGTGGACCCTCCAGCTCTGCAGACCTGCCATCGACCCCCACCCTTACACCTCTGAAGAGCCCTGCCTGTGGTGAGTTCCTTCAATGGTGCATGCTGGGGCCCAGGACCAAGAGGGGCCATGCAGCCTGTGTGAGCCTCGGGTGGCAAAGCCCCTGCAGCCGTGGGGGCACAGGCTGCAAATGTGGCCCAGGTGGCATCCTCATCTTGTGCATGAGGAAACCGGGGTGTCCAGCAGACGGTTTCTGGTTGAATTAGGAAGGCAGCTTGGTCTTCTCACCTGTCCCAGCCCTCTCTTCCCGCCTCACAGGGCTCCCTGTTTGCAGCGGCGGGGGCAGAGGTCTGCCTCAGGAGCAGTCTTTGGGCTTACTTGTCACATTAGGTACTGGAGCCATCCCCTGAGGTGCTGGCCACCCCAGCTGTCCTGCCTCCTAGCAGGGCTGTGCCCCAGCCTCCCCAGCCCTGATCAATGTGATGACACCCCACAGCAACTCTGCACCCCCAGGAATGCTGCACACCCATAGCTGTGTTGTGTATGCCCTGTTCCACCCCCTCGGCTGTTCCGTCACCCTCTCAAGTGTTCTGCAGCCCAGCAGCTGCTCTGCGCACCAACGTGTGCTGCACCCCAACCTTTCTGCACCCCTGGCTTTTCTGTGCTCCAGCTGTTCTGAACCTCCCCAACTGTTCTGTATCTCCCCAGCTGCCCTGTGACTCCCCAGCTGCTTCGTGCACCCCCAGCTGCTCTGCCCACGGCTGTTCCGTGCTTCCCCAGCTGTTCTGCACCCTCACAGGGGCTCTGCCTTCAGCTTTTCTGCACACCCAGCAGTGTTTCGTACTTCCCTCTGCTCTACACATCCAGGGTTCCTGCACCCCCTTAGCTGTTTTGCACTCCTTGTCCTACTGTAACCCCCAGCAATTCCATGTTACCTGTAGAATATTTAGCCATCACCAAGCCCCCAAGTGACATCTCGGGAAATTCACAGCAGATCAGTGCAGGAACTGGGTCTCGGCCGTGACAGTCCTGTGAGCTTGCAGAGATAGCCTGCCTCTAGATTTCACCCAAATGAACTGTTAAAAGTGATCTCCATCAGTGCATTTCCTCTGCTTAGCAGGACAGGCTCCAAGACTAAATTCTTAAGCCCATGTAAGTCAGTATTACCAAGGGACCTAGGGTCTTTCTGTAAGAATGGCTCTCTAGCCAGCATTGTCACCAATCCTGACCCTTAGATGGACCCTGGGTAAATCCACCCAAGGGTCAAGAGTGGACAGTCCATCTGAGGAGCCACCAAGAACCTTCTCAAGAAGCCTTCATTTTGGGGAATGCAGGGGCCTCAGGGATGTATATGAACCATCTGCTGAAAGAAAACAAAACCAGAAGCCATTTGCTATCATCCTGAGGAGGGGCAGGGGTGCAGTCCCAGGAAGCCCAGGCTCGGGAGCTTCGTACAGGATCCTACTCACACATCACAAGACTTACCTTGGTGGACATCACCTGCAAATCACTTATGTCCCCATGGTGATGAATTGGATTTTTGGTATTGGGGGAGGCTTCTTTTCTCCTTTCTCCTAGGAATGACTTGATTTAATTTTGGTGTTTACATTGCGCTTCCCAGTTCCCGTCTCCATTGGGAGGATCGTGGTCTCCAATGTGACCAGCACAGGTCTCCACCTGGCATGGGAGGCGGGTCTTGCTCTGGGCTCTGCCTTCCAGCTCACTCTGACTTCTGCGTGGAGCCCCACTGTGGTCCTAGAGACCTGGAACACGAGTGTGACCCTGTCGGGGCTGGAGCCTGGGGTCTTGCACCTGGTAGAGATCGTGGCCAAAGCATGCGGGAAAGAAGGAGCCAGAGCTCGTCTGAAAGTGAGGACAGGTAATGAGCTCCCATTTGTTTTTAAAGAGAGGAATGAAAGGTCTGAAAGAGACCTTTCGGTGGGTTAAGGCTTCAGAGAGCTGGATTTGTCTATGGGCTGCGAGGTGTCATTGTTCCTCTCAGCTTAGGGGTATCCGGCCAGCTTCATCCTCAGCAGGCGTGCAACAACATCCAGGTAGGAGGCAGCTTATTCAGGAAAAGGCATTAGGCAGCCTTCGGGCACAGGCAGAGGGCTGCAGACTGCGCCTGGGGACTGCGGGTACTGGCCTGCCCGTGTCCTTGTGGGGACGTGGCACAGAAAACATCTGCGGTGCCCGTCTGTGAGCTGCACCCACCCCGTCTGACCTCAACAGTCTCAAACGACTTGGCTTTCAGGAAGGACATCAACAGATAATCAACAGGCACACAGACGATCTGTGAGCAGCCTGCTGGAGCTGGAGCCCGGGGCCACAAAGTAGAGAATTGAGCAATAATGAATCAAACAGAGACTCTGCTGCATTGGAGCTGAGCCGTGACAATGTTACATGTACTTGGATGAAATTCCTATTTTTTCCATTAGCATTGCCATGTGGGTATTTTCTTCCGTGTACCTTTCCTGAATAGTCAAGGGCATTCGTGAGGTTGCAGGTCGGTTTTCACACCGTCGGCAGCTTCCCAAGCGTTGGCAGCAGTGGTCTGTGCAGTGGGGTGCGCACTCCTTGAGGGAGGTATAAGATGGCCTATTGGGATGCAGTAATAAGAGTTTAGAATGTTTGTGTATGTTCTTTAAAGCACCGGTCAGCCCTGGCCTGGGAAGTTACATAACAGATGGAGTCCACGGCGTTAATTGTGCAAGTTCATGACCAGCTGGAGAGGAGGGAGATCAGTGCTGGCTGGGCAGTCAGGCATGGTGGCCCTGGCATCTGAGAGCCGGAGCTGGGCCTCCGAAGGTCTCAGCTACTCTGGAAGGGACAGGCTGCACGTGGGACCCCGAGCCTGCAGACACGTCTACACCTGCTCTCACCTGTACGCCTGTCCTGCTGCTGATGGCTTTCAGACTGGGCTGCCCATGCCAGCCATGGAGACTGAAGCAGAGGCCCTCAGGGGCAGCAACAATGATGTCAAGGATGTAGAGTTTGGGGTTGGCCTGGGAATGCATAGCAGAATGGCTCTGTGGTTTGTCTTGAGCCTTCGTGAGAAACTCTGGGGAGGTGGACTCTAAGCCCCTGAGAGGAGAGCTGTGTCTTTCTCCTTCACTGTCTAGAATGCCTCTGGCACATGGCAGGTGCTTCACAAATATCTAGAGGGACTGACTGAACATTGGCGTGGCTGCCATGCCAAGGCCAGGATGGGGTGGTGACATTCCTGGGCTACGTTTATGTGCCACATACTCCTAGACACCCTCCATGGAGGGAAAAGATTCAGATGGAACAGGTGATACCAAAATGGGGATTGCCCATAGACCAGGGGAGGCGGGGCTGCTGGGGGAGGAAGAAGGGCTGGTTCTAAACAAGGCCCCTGGGCACCCTGTGGCTATACGGGCTCTGAGCAGAGACCTGGCCAGGGTCCTGAGTCCTGGTGTGCCTGGGACAGCCCAGTTTGCACCTGTGGCCCTGGCAAAGTTATTTAATGGTGCCTCCACGTGCTCTAAGTCATGCCAGCTTGCTGGTAAATTGTTTGAACATCCCGGCATGGGTAACAGCAGCAAGGAAGGAAGGCTGCGTGTGTGTTGTGGGGAGAGTTGCAGGGCCTGAGCTGGCTCTGGAAGGTTCTCCCACTGGGCTCAGGCTTTGTCTTGTGTCCTCCTGAATCTGATGGGCTGCCTCCCCGGGCCCCTGGCACTATTCCTTCCTTCTAGAGCACAGGCCAGCCTTGGTGTGATGCTCTTCCCGGCGTGAGAATACGCTTTTTAAGACTGAAATGACAGTCTGTTATCGAATACATCGCCAATTCCAAATGTGCTTATCCTCCATCCTGCAGTGGCCCGGAAGCTCACTGGAAAGGTCAGAATCGCAAATGTCGAGTACTCAGAATCATTTGGTAATGCAAGCAGCCAGGAGTATCGACATTTCCTAGAACTGTTCTTCGGGACGGTGAGTTGGCGATATCAGCCCTTAATTCCTTTCGGGAGGGAAGGGGTGGAAGGCTAATTGAATTCTAAGCCAGGTGCCGTGGCTCGTGTCTGTAATACTAGCACTTTGGGAGGCAGAGGCGGCGTATTGCCTGAGCTCAGGGGTTCGAAACCAGCCTGGACAACATGGCAAAACCCCATCTCCACCAAAAAAATACAAAAATTAGCCAGTCCTGGTGGCGCATGCCTGTGATTCCAGCTACTCGGGAGGCTAAGACAGGAGAATCTCTTGAACCTGGGAGGCAGAGGTTGTAGTAAGCAGAGATCATGCCACTGCACTCCAGCCTGTACAACAGAGTGAGACCCTGTCTGAAAAAAAAAAAAAAATTCTTGTTTCATCCAACTAGGAATTTGGCTTATAGGTCCTATGAACTCATTTCTGAAGGAAGCCAGGACTTTAAACTCTGGCCTGGCTCTCTGAGTGTCCCTGGATCCTCCCTGGCAAAGACACAGTCAGCAGACACGACCCTTCCTCTGCCACATCCTTGCTTCACATGGTTTTCTGTCCGGTGAAACCTGTTTGTCAGTTTTGGAACTTATGAAGCAGAAATTCCGTCCTTGTTTTTTTTTTTTTTTTTTTTTTTTTTTTTTTTTTTAAGCCTTTAAAAAATGAGGTCTATTTCATAGACCGTAAAATCTTCACTTTTGAACTGTAGAGTTCAGTAGTTTAGAGTGTTTTGCAAAATTGTGCAACCATCACCACTATCTAATTCCAGAACATTTTAATCACCCAAAAAGAAACCTCACACCCATTAGAAGTTACTCCCAGCTGGGCACGGTGGCTCACACCTGTAATCCAAGCAATTTGGGAGGCTAAGGCAGGTGGATCTCCTGAGGTCAGGCATTCGAGATCAGCCTGACCAACATTATGAAACCCCATCTCTAATAAAAATACAAAAATTAGCCGAGTGCGGTGGCATAGGCCTGTAATCCCAGCTACTCAGGAGGCTGAGGCAGGAGAATTGCTCGAATATGGAAGGCAGAGGTTGCAGTGAGCTGAGATCTCACCATTGCACTCCAGCCTGGGCAACAGAGCAAGACTCCATGTCAAAAAAGAAAAAAAAAAAAGGAAGTCACTCCCTCTCGATACTTCCTCCAGCCCCTGGTAACCACAAATCTGCTTTCTATCTCTATGGATATGCCCTGTGAACATTTCAAAGAAATGGAACTGTGCAATATGTGACTTTTGTGTCTGGCTTCTTTCAGTTAAAATGAGGTTTTCAGGTGTCATCCATGTGGCAACCTGTGTCAGAACTATTTATGTATTTATTTTTTTGAGATGGAGTTTCACTGTAGTTGCCTAGGCTGGAGTGCAATGGTGTGATCTCGACTCGCCACAACCTCTGCCTCCCGGGTTCAAGCGATTCTCCTGCATCCTTTCTTATGGCTAGGGCACAACCTTGTCATGCAGGCTCATCCATTTATTCACTGACAGGCACTGGGTGGCTCCCCCATTCTGTTATAAATAATACTACGTGGCCGGGCATGGTGGCTCACACCTGTAATCTTAGCACTTTGGGAGGCCGAGGTGGGCAGATCACCTGAGGTCAGGAGTTCAAGACCAGCCTGACCAACATAGAGAAAACCCCGTCTCTACTAAAAATACAAAATTAGCTGGGCGTGGTGGTACACGCCTGTAATCCCAGCTACTTGGGAGGCTGAGGCAGGAGAATCAGTTGAACCCTGGAGGTGGAGGTTGCGGTGAGCTGAGATCGTGCCATTGCACTCCAGCCTGGCAACAAGAGTGAAATGCTGTTTAAATAAAAAATATATATATATATATATATATATATATATATATATATATATATATTGCTGCGATGTCCTTCCTCAACAAAAGTTCTTTTCCTGCTCTTTCCTACATTCTTCCCGGCCATCCCCTCAGCATTCTCTGAGATTTTATCTGTTACCATTTAGTGACATGCATTCTTATGGACTTTTTGAGGTATAGGGAGTGCCCTTGTTGTAATCTAGTGATTTTGTTTGCCTGAAATCTCACATGGTAGCTTTCCCTGAGTCTGGGAGTTTAAGACTCAGCATAGAGAGGGTTTGACACTGCCACCGAGTGGTCTGCTGTGGTAACATCATAGCAGGGCTGGAACCCCCAGTGCTGCACCCGTGGGTGAAAAGATGCCGTGGCCTTCCGGAACAGTCCCGATGGCTTAGCTCATTCCCAGCTCCCAGTGCGTGCATTCAAGAGTTGCTGACAGTTTGACTAATAATATGGTTTGATTAATAATGTGGTTTGATTGATAAGGTTGAATAGTAATTACAATATTAAACAACAAATGCTGAATCCTTCCACCTGGTTCTAGCGGCCAAACGAGGTGGCTGCATTTCCTTCCCGAGTTTCTTGATTAATGTTTCCTCTTCGAGCCACTTCCTCCTTTGCCCAATTTTGGGGATGCTGTTCTTCTGTTTGCCTAGAATTTCAGGACAGCAAGTAACTATACAACTTAATCACAGAAGTAGGATGTTAAGAGACATTTCCGGGTTTCACTTGCTGGTAACCGCAGACGTGGATGTCCAGGAGGTACTGTCTGTGTGCCTTGGTCCCTGGTTCTGCGCCACTTCCTGGAACTTTGCTTAGAGGTTGGTTTGAAATGCAGCTGAAAGTGACATTAGTCCAAGACTATGACAGACTCCCCTGAGAGAAAAAGAGAGGGAAGAACTGATTGTGAAGATGATCATGAAAACAGTCATCTGCCCGTGCCAACTGAGGGCAGCTGGGGTCTCCCTGGGGTCCAAAGTCTCTGAGGGGGACGATGGATCTCTTCCCCTTGGTGACTCAGAGGCCAGGAGGTGAGTCCGTGACCCGGGCCTTGGGCCACTGCACCCGTGAGGACAACCCCCGGAGGAGCCCTTTCCATGGGAGATTTGCACTGTGGATGATTGATGCTCATTACAAGATTGTTGGATAGGAGATTTGCACTGTGGATGATTGATGCTTATTACAAGATTATTTGCCTTTCTGGGTGTTTTGACCATGATGGGTCAGCGTGGAATCATATAGTGTCTGGTGTGTGACTCTGCCCGAAGAGACAGAGTAGAAAGCAGGCTGTTCGGGGGCAGGAACCCACTGTCCTAATAGGGATGGTGGAAATGCTCATGGGAAACAGTCTGGGGACAGGCAGGGAGGGAGGATGAAAGGGGGCATGTTCTGCAGTGCCAGGAGCAAAGGGGCTGTTCCAGAGAAAGCAGTGGAGATGGCCTCCCTCCCCACCACCCCGCACTCAGCCCCCTGCCCTCCGTGGCTGCAAACCAGGAGTATGAGGTTCTAAAAGCCCTTGTGAGCCCCCAGCAAATTTTAAGCCCCATAAGGAAGGGTCTCTGCCTGTGCCCCAAGTCCCATCCTCTACTCACAGGTGTTTTTCTGAAGCCGTTTGCTGGTTTAGGGGGAAGCAAGGGCTCTTCTCATATCAGAGATGCTCCCAGGCACTTGTGCTGGGCTTGAAAACATGGCAGACGGGAAAGGGCCCAGATCCAACCTGTGGCTTTGACCTTTGTGCCACGGGCCAGCCCAGCTGCTGGGCAGACTCCCAGGAGGAACTGCCTTGGGACAGGCACCTGTTTTCTCTCAGCATGGGGATCCCGTCACGTGGCCTCTTCCCCCACAGGTGTGGGGCTCCCTGCCAGCTGCCCTGCGTCAGCACGTGGACGCCGGCGGGGTCAGGATGGAAGTCACTGGAGTCACCAACGGCAGCGTCGTGGTGGAATTTCACTTGCTGATCATCGCAGACCTGGATGTCCTGGAGGTGTCTTCTGCATTCCTCACCGCCTTCCAGACCGCGCCTCTGCTGGAGGTGATCAGAGGAGACACCTTCATACAGGGTACGGGAGGCTGGGACGGCGCCTCTCCCACGTCCCGGAACCAGCACTTCTGAAAGATGCTGTGTGGTGGCCCTTCCTCCCCCAGAATTAGAGGAACATGTGAAATAGAGGGACATTTCTGTCCCTCCCTCTTATTGTGATGATAATGTTTCGAAGGTTGAAGTGTTGAAAACATCTTCAGATGAATCTGCAGATCCCCGGGGGTGCTGTCTTCTTTCCAGGTGTGCCGCTCCTCGGCTGCCGGTTCCCAGGGGCAGAAGGCAGACGTGTCCCTCTTTGCAGCCAGACTTTCTTCCAGGCACGATTCCCACGGAGATCCCATAAAAATAATTAACAAAAAAAAGCAGGGAGAAAAAGACAATGTAGATTCTTTTCTCTGATCATACTTGAACATAAATGATGAATGGCTTATAGATACATGTATCAGAAACCAAAGACCTTTTAAAAATTGAAGATGAATATATTTTTGATGTTTAGAATAAGGACTTCCTAAAGAAAATACGATTTTCAGAGGAAAAGGATGAGATACTGACTACAGGCAGAGATAGATCAAAATAAAAGCACAATTTTAAAGCAAAGTAAACAAAAAACTTTCAATAATTTGATGACATATGGGTATCCCAAATATGTAGAGAGATCATACAAATTGATGGTAAATGCCAAGATCCTGATGGATAAATGCACGGAAGAGCTACACAGATGAGGTGCAGAAGCAGTAACACCAGTGGCTAACACGGACGTGGTGACCAAAGGCTTCCCTATTAAAACGCGTTGCACTTTTTGAACATCAAACTGCAAAAAAGGTCTTTTTTTCTAGTGGTGAAAGTGTAGTGAGGCAGGTGTTTACACAGATTATGGAGGGGAGGAGGATGTGCTCACGCTTCCTGGAAATGAATTTGGTGATGTAAGCCAAGTGCTTTCACAGTGGCCATCCACTTTGATTCTGAAACATCACCTCTAATGACTGTCCTAATGAATTTAGTCTCAGTTTGGACTGTAGTTTAAATGCAAAGATGTTCACCTTCAGCGTTGCTTTCAAAGCCAAAAAGTTGGAAATCGGCAGCTGGTCTAGTGACAGAGAAGGTGCTCAGTTACCGCATGTCCCTGCCCCAGGTTGTTGAGCAAACATGGGAATTTGCATGCTGCTAGTTGGTGGCAGAGGCGACCTCTGCTCTCAGAGCATGCCTGCGTTTTAAAGGGCCGGAAGGAAGTAGGCCCACATGCCAGCATGCCCCTGGCCATGCTTTTCTGGTTCTTATCCATATTCTGCAGTAAACCCGTTTTGCTGTCAGTAAGCAACTGAGCCTCACGGTGACAGACAAACAGCCTGAGGGCCTTTTGCCCAGGGTTGGGCTTACAGCCTGGGTGCCTTGGGCTTGACCAAGATGGGTCTCAGGGCCTGGGTATCTCCTGGTCACTCCCTGGAACTGAAGGGATGGCTCTGCTCTGCCCAGATGCCCACCCCCGACGCCAGCCTTAGGCCAGACTCCTCCTCCCAGAACAGCCCTGCAGACATCCCAAGCCCCTCCCAGCCCCAGCAGCAGGAAGCCTCCCGACCTCTTCCAGAATTGGCGAGCTTCAGTGTGGACTGCTCTGGCTGGAGTTTCCAGCTTTGTCTGTGAGATGCACAACACCCCCCCTACCCCCCGCCGTCACCCCCAAGAGGTTGCCGGGAGCCTGCAAGTCCCCAGGGGTGTTCTTGTGTTTTCTGTTCTAAATATTGTGCAGATTACGATGAGTGTGAAAGGGAGGAGGATGACTGTTTGCCGGGGACCGCCTGCCGAAACACCCTCGGGTCTTTCACGTGTAGCTGTGAGGGGGGAGCCCCCGACTTCTCTGTACAATATCCTGAGAGACCCTGTGAAGGTAATGTCATCATTTTTTTCTGGAGTACTGTCTCATCATCGGGTTTTTAAAAGACATTCACGTGCAAAGGGCTTCTTGTCCCTATGAGGTCGTATTTTTATGCCCTGGGCAAGTTTGCCGTGTGTGTGAGATATGGGCACACGTGTGTGTATGAGACGTATGTGTACATGCGTGTGTGCATGTGTGTGCATGTTCCTTCCCATTCTTTCATACGTGTCCAGGCTTCTGGGAGGTGCCTTATCTCTCCGAGTGCTAGCTCTGATATCGATGAAGAGAAAGGGCATATGTACATGAGGCATGAACGCACAGATGCTGAGCGACGGACTTGTGAAACACGCAGCCGTGGACAAGTGACAAGGGGAGTTTCCTCTCGGCCACTCTTTCCAGCCAGCACTTTTCCTGTTAAGAGGCACCTTAGTGGATTTAGTGTGTGTATACACTGTGTGTGTGTGCATGTGTGTGTGTGAGTGTGTGTATGCACTGTGTGTACGTGTGTGTATGTGCACGTGTGTGTGTGCATGCATGTGTGCATATGTACATGGCGTGTGTGCACGTGAGTGTGTGGTTGTGGCTGGAACATGCAGTTCCCAGGTGTGGCTGCTGCAGAGTGCAGGGCAGCTCCACCCTGCTCCTCACTCCCTCCTCTCCATGCCAACACCAAACACAGAGCCACTCTTTGCCTGTTCCTCTTTGTGCCTTGCAGGTGACTCAGCTGGCAACGAGAGCGCCACCAGCCCGGAGAGGCCCCTCACCACAGCAGGGTCCCAGGCTGCCTTTGTGCAAGGCACCAGCCCCACGCCCCAGGGCCTGCCCCCACGGCTGAACCTGACCGGAGCAGTCAGGGTGCTCTGTGAGATTGAAAAGGTGGTTGTCGCCATCCAGAAGCGCTTCCTGCAGCAGGAATCTATCCCTGAGTCCTCGCTGTACCTGAGCCACCCCTCCTGCAACGTGAGCCACAGCAATGGGACACACGTGCTCCTGGAGGCCGGCTGGAGCGACTGTGGGACCGTCATGCAGAGCGTAAGGCCGGGAGAGCCGGGCTCAGGATGCACGCCAGGGCGCAGAGGGCCGTAGGTCGCATGGGCCTTGACATGGGGGGTCAGGCAAGACTCTGCACTCCGAGGGGAACCCAGCAAGGGGGGTCAGGACAGGGCTGAACTCTCAACCAGGGACCAGGCTACACCCCAGAAGCAGAAGGAAGATGTGAGTCCACCCAGCAGGGACTCTGGTGCAAAGTGCCTGGGGCAGGCTTCAGAATCAGGGCTTAAAACTCCTCCCTGCACAGACAGGATAGAGAACCAGGGGACCGGAAGAGGCAGGAAAGCCAAGCTGTCGTGTGTGAGTGAGTGTGTGGGTGCGTGGCGGGGTCTGTGGTCGTGTGTGGGTGAGTGTGTGGGTGCTCGGTGGGGTCCGTGGTCGTGTGTGGGTGAGTGTGTGGGTGCTCGGCGGGGTCCGTGGGAGTTTAGGGTCAAAGCTGCCCTACCTGGGAGAAGCAGCCCAGTCCTTGTGGCTCTGCCTCTCGAGGTGCCTTGCAGGGGGCGCTGCTTCTGGTTGGGGCTCTGGACACACCCCCTAGTGGGGACAGGGTGGCCTCTGGCACTGGGCGGGGCAAAGCCGGCAGATGAAACCCATAGCCCACTCCCTTGGGCATGGGGTGTCAATGTCTGGGAGCCGACAAGGTAGGAACGGGGTGGTGGGGTGTCCTCAGCAGGAGGCTGGGATGTGGACCTTGAGGTTCAGTAAGGAGCTAGCCCTGGGGAGCAGAGGCCAGAACGTCCCAGAGGCGGAGAGACGAAGTGGGGAGGTAGGGACATCAGGTGACTCCACGGTGTGGAGCCCGCTTGGAGCCTGGAGCCAGGACTGAGGGTGGCCAGGAAGCTGAGGGACTCAGGTGGACGGTCCGAGGCCGCCACAGAGCACGAGCCTGCCTGGGAGGCACAGCTCACTCTGCTGAGCTCATTCCTCTCCCTCGAGGGCTCCTCGGACCCTCCCTGGGCTGAAGGAGGGACCTGCACCATTTCGACAGCTATAAAACGTTCCCCACCCCCTCAGTCCCTCAACCTGCACAACTTAAGGGGAACTGCCTGGGATTAGTTTTTACTCCCTTAAAGATTCTTAGATGCCCAGCAGGAGGCCAGGCAGTGGCAGCCCCAAGGCCTGTCTGCAGGGGTATGGGCAGTGAGCCGTGGCTACTGTGGCTTCTCAGCAGCTTCCATGGTGAGGGAGGTCTGGGGTGATCGGTGCATGTGGCCCAGGCTGCTACAGCATCCTCAAGCCTACGCAGGGCTCCTGCAGGGCTGTGGGGCCAGGTGGAGGGGCTGAGGGTACAGGACAGCCTGCCTGTTGCTCAGAGCACCCCCGCACCCCCGCGGCTCCAGTGGAGAGGCAGCGCCTCCCAGGACTGGGGCTCTGCAGCCAGCAGCTACCTCCGTGTTTTTCTGAGCTGAGCTACACCTGGCTTGATTATTAAGTGCAGCAGGGTTTGGGGCACGTGGGAAGAAAAGGGAAACGTGTCTCTGATGAGTCACCCAGGCCCTGGAATCCACAGGAGCTCTTGGAGGTTTTTGACATTTGTCAGAAACGAAGTTTCCCAGAAAGGCTTATTTGTGCAACTGCCACGAAATCCGCACAGGCTCAGGTTCTGCCCCTCAGGGTCAACAGGGAATCAGCAGAGGCCGACCCTTAGCTCTCTTAGGCAATTTATGGTCGGGAGAATCGCCAGGGTCTCGATGCTTCTGGCGAGAGGCTTTAGAAAAGACCCCTACCCCCATCCACCGTAGCACCTAGAGCCGTGGTCCACAGCAGGGCATGGGGAGCCGGCTGGGGCCTGGGAACTCCTCACACCCCGTTTTGTGATCAGAACATGACGAGCACGGTGGTGAGGACCACGCTGAGGAACGACTTGCCCCCAGAGGGCATCATCCACTACCTGAAGATCCTGAGCCCCATCTACTGCGCCTTCCAGAACGACCTGCTGATATCCTCCGGCTTCACCCCAGAGTGGGGGTAAGGGAGAAGCGCCCCCGCTGCTCCACACCACGTGCCTCTAGAGCACCTGCCGTTTGAGAGTTCTTTGGGGTTTCAACCACTTAAGGACCCTTCCTTGAGATGGAATATGCAAACGGGCTGCATATTCATGGCCGGGCTGCATTGGCAGCTGCTGGCTCCCCAGCCTTCATTCCCACTTTCCGCTCAGGACCAGCTGGAGAAGGCCAAGTATGTACCCTGGCCAATCCCATCGGATCGGCCCACTTGCGGTGAGCCACAGGCGCCCCCCTCCCCCGCCACAGCCTGCATCAGACACCACTTTTTCTATGCTGGGTGGTCCCCTCACCTGCCACCTCCACCATCAGAAGTGAGGGAGGCGACCCCTGGACCAGCTTGCCCTGAAGAAGCGGCCTCCATGTGCTCTCATTTGGGGCTGGTGGGTCTTCTCGTTCATTCACACGCTCCTCTGGAGCTGCATGTTGCGGGGGAGAAGTGGGAACGAGAGGGGCTGTGATAATGCACCTCCTGGAACACACCTCCTGCAAGCTGCTCCCTCTTGCAGGGTTTACACCGTCGTCGAAGACCTCCATGGTGCTGGGCATTTTGTTACCGAAATGCAGTTGTTTGTTGGAGACTCTCCCATACCTCAGAATTATAGTGTGTCTGCCAGCGATGACGTCAAGATCGAAGTGGGGCTCTACAGGCAGAAAAGCAACCTCAAGGTGGTCCTGATGGAGTGCTGGGCAACCCCGTCCAGCAACGCCCGGGACCCGGTCACCTTCAGCTTCATTAGCAACAGGTAGGGCTCAGGAGCACAGGATCCCCCATCCAGCAATGCCCCGTCCAGCATTACCAGCAGGTAGGGTTCCGGAGTGCAGGTGCCCTTGTTCAGCAATGCCCAGGGCTTTGTTTCTAACAGGTAGGGCTCAGGAGTCTAGACACCCCCATCCAGCAATGCTTCGTTAACAACAGGTGGGGCTCGTGTGGGCACTGCTGTTGTCTGGCCTGGCCGTGTGGCTGGCTCTGGGCTCTGATTTCTAGGCAAGGGCTGTCAAGGACCTGCATGTTGGGGAATAAATGAGGCGGCCTGGCCTCGACTTCCCTGGAGCCTGTGGGATCTGTGAGCATCTTCAGATGTAGTCGTGAGTAAGCTCATCTGAGGACAGTGGGACTTGCTGACAACCAAGGAGTGCCATTTCCTGTCTCCTCAGCTGCCCCGTGCCCAACACATACACGCACGTGATTGAGAACGGCAACTCCAGCAGAGCCCAGTTCAAGCTGAGGATCTTCTCCTTCATCCACAACTCCGTCGTCTACCTGCACTGCAGACTCCGCATCTGCATGGACTCCCCTGGGGCCACGTGCAAAATCGTAAGTGTTTTTCTGGTTTTCTAAGCAACTGGTTGGATTCGTGTTCTTTACTGTTACAACGAAAGGCTCTGTTAACATGTCTGACAGCTTCGTAGGATAGGGCTTCACAGAGTTATTAGCACACTTATAATTTAACAAGAAAGGACACTTTAAAAAGGAGCTTTTCTACTTCCCACACGTATTGTCGCGGCTCTGGAGGCAGGAAGTCCAAGAAGGAGGTGTCAGCCAGGCTGGTTCCCTCTGAGAGTTATGAAGGAAGGATCTGTCCCAGGGCTCTCTCCGAGCCTCTGGCTGCCGGGGGCGTTCCTTGGCTGCTAGATGGCATTTTCGCTGTCTCTTTGCTTCGTCTTCCCTCGGCAGACATCTGTGTCTGTGTCCAATTTTCCCCTTTATGTAAGGACACCAGCCATAGTGGATCAGGGCCCACCCTGCGGCCCTCAGCTTGATGATCTGTTTCCAAATAAGGTCACATTCACAGGGGACCGGGGTTTAGGACTTCAATCCCTTCTCAGAGGATATGTTGCAGCCCATCTCAGGCATACAGTGAGCAGGTTCCACAGTGTCACTGAGCCAGGCAGTCTTCTCTGTAAGGCCAAGATGTAAAGAGGAGCGAATGGCTGCTGCAGCCTTTGGAGAGCACAGAGGGACTCTGAGGCCCGTGACCAAGACACGCTCCTCAAGGGATCCAAGGAACCTGCTCTAGGAACCGAAAGCAGCTCGGGGGTCTGCTCCAGCCTGCTGCGCTCGCAGACCTCACCTCTTTCTCCACTGATGCCTGGGCCTGCCTCTTGTAGCATCGGGCCCCCCAACCCTGGTCTCACCAGGTCACCCACTCTTCTGGCTAAACTTAGCCCCCCTGCCTTGCAACTTTCAGCAGGATAAAATCGTATGAATCAGGTGATCATCCTTGATCGTGAGCTACTTTCTCATAAATGTTGTTCAACTAATTTGATGTTTCTCTCCTTGGAAAAAAACCCAACCCAGAATTGCAATAACTTTCGGTTGCTGAAAAATAGTGAAACCCCTGCCACACACCAGATGTCCTGGGGACCCCTCATTCGGTCTGAAGGTGAGTTGATCATTTGGTTTAGTCAACTAAGGAAAAGATGCAGCCAATTCCTTTTCACCAGCGTGTGTACAGAAAAGCAACTGTTTTGAAATGTGGGACTCTTGAGAGACTTCTGAAAGGCTTGTAATAATAGAAACACTAATAGTAAATATTCACTGAGAGCTGCTACATGTCAGCATGGCGCTAAGTTCTTCACATGCAGAATGTAACATGCTCCTCTCAGCAACCCTGGGGAACACCGTCTATTACCATACCCATCTACGGATGAAAAGACTGAGGCTTCAAGAGGCCAGGCACAAAGTTACATAATGAAATGTTTTGAGCTGCTTCATATCAAGCCAGGGAAGTTTTCTGACACTAGGTAAATACATCGAGTAGGTTTTTAAGATAAGAACTCAAGCTATAATCAGGCCATGCCAACTTGTGTGTGTGTGTGTGTGTGTGTGTGTGTGTGTGTGTGTGTGCATACGTGCGTGCACAAATGTTTACCCATTTATCCATTTATCAAGAAAAAGCTGTTTTATTCAAAAGACGCAAAATATGGCATATCTGTTCCCCCTCAGTTTAAGACTTCCATCAGCCAATTAATTACACTGCATGCATTTTCAAAACCCCAAATCAGTTTTCCAGAAAAACATTTTATTTTCTATATGGTCTATTATCTTATTTTGAAAAAAAAAAAAAATTGGTTTGGGGGAAATTGCTTGCTTTGGGTATTGAGAGAGAACTCACTAGTTGTCCCATGGTGTCTGTCCTCAACTCCTTTCATGGGAATCAAGTCCCCAGCTTTTACTGGCACATGGCTGCCAGAAATAAAAGCTGTAATTCCAACCTCCTGGCAGTGACGTGTGGCCATGTGAATAAGTTCTGACCGATGAGATGTAAACGGAATAGTCACGTGACAACATTTAGAGGTACACCCTCCTCAAAAGATGTCTGTGCCCACTGTCTGCCGCTTTCTTTTTCTTCTTCCTTTTTTTTTTTTTTTTTTTTAGATGGAGTTTAGCTCTGTCACCCGGGCTGGAGTACAGTTGTACGATCTTGGCTCACTGCAACCTCTGCCTCCTGGGTTCAAGTGATTCTCCTGCCTTAGCCTCCCAAGTAGCTGGCATTATAGGTGCCTGCCACCACGCCCAGCTAATTTTGGTATTTTTAGTAGAGACGGGGTTTCACTGTGTTGGCCAGGATAGTCTCGAGCTACTGACCTCATGATCTGCCTGCCTCAGCCTCCCAAAGTGCTGGGATTACAAACATGAGCCGCTGTGCCCTGCCTGCTGCTTTCTTCCTTAGGGCCATGGGGCCCAGTCCTTGGAGGGATCTGGCTTCCCCAGGACACTGTGGGCAAGGGACCAAGGCAGGCCTGGACTCTGACCTCACTTTTATGCCAGGAAGAAAGAAATTTTCACGTTCTTTAAGCCACTGCTATTTTGGTTTTCTCTCTTTCCTTCTTGCCCTTTCTCTTTCTTGACTCATCTGCTGGTTCTCATCCAAAGCATTTGGGAAACTAAAAAAGTAGACACAGGTCCCAGGCCACACCCAGGCCTACTCACTCAGAATCTCTGGGTTTGGGTCCCAGACCCCTGGGCTGATCATCAGGTGACGGTCGGTCGAGGTGCTGGGACAACCCGCTTCTCCTCGCTCTTCATTTTCTTGGGTCAGCCTATTTCTTTCACCCTATAAGAAAGAGCTTATGTATGAAATGTGTTCTCATTAATAGATAATGTGTTCTTTCATGAATAGAAATTAAACTTCTCGTTCGTTCATTGATATTATAGGGAATGCCATGACTAGGGGATGAAAAGCATGAGGCCTGGAGTTGGGACACCTGAGTTTGATTATAGAGTCTGACACTTATGAGCTGTGTGGTTCATCCATCATCCCCCCATACATCTATCTACTCATCTTTCCATCTGTCATTTATCCATCCATCCATCTCTCCATCCATCCATTTATCCATCCACCTATTCATTGATCATCCATCCATCCACCTATTCATCCATCTATCCATCTATCATCCACACATCTATCATCCATCCATCCACTCATCTATTATCCATCCATCCATCCATCTACCCATTCATTCATTCATCCATCCATCCACCCATTCATTCATCCATCTATCATCCATCCGTCCATTCACCCATCCATCCATCCATCCACTCATCTATCATCCATCCATCCAGTGATCATCCATCTATCCCTGTATCATCCATTCATCTATCATCCATCCATCCATCTACTCATCTGTCATCCATCCACACATTCATTAATTCATCCATCATCCATCCACCCATTCACCCATTCATTCATTCACATATCATCCATCCATCCATTCATCCATCCATCTATCCACTCATCTATCATCCATCCACCCACTCATTCATTCATCTATTCATCTACTTCCATCCATCTATCCATTCATCTATCATCCATCTATTCATCCATCATCCATCTTCCATCCATTCATCTATTCATCCATTCATCCATAATCCATCCATCCATCTATCCGTTTGTCTATCATCCATCCATTCATCTATCATCTATCCATTCATCCATCCATTTATTCATCCATCAATTCATTCATCTATCATCTGTTCATCCATCCATCCATTCATCTGTCATCTATCAATCCATTATCCATCTATCATCCATCCATTCGTTAATCCATCCATTCATCTATCATCCATCCATCCATCCATTCATCTCTCATCCACCCATTCATCCATCTCATCCATTCTTCTATCATCTGTTCATACCTCCATCATTCATCCATTCATCCCCCATCATCCATCCATCTGTCCATTCGTCCATTTTTCTATCCATCTATCCACTTATTCATTAATTCATTCATCTACTATGTTTCAGATGCTCTGATTTTTCTTTGCAACCTGCCCTGCCTACCTCATAAGGTTGTTGTGAGTGTCTAATGATAGCTAAGAATCCTTTGTGAGGCTAAGATTGGTGAGGTTGAAAGTAGGCTCCTTGGATTCAAAGCTTGACTCTGACACTTAATAATTTTGTAACTTTGTGCATGCTGCATGTGAATTGTGCCTTATGTGAAATGGAAATAATAATTCCTACTTCATACAGAGCCTGGCCCATAGAAGTTATTGATAAGTGCTACTTTTCACTTGTAACCAGTAGAGCACTGCACTGGCATAAACAAAGCAGGAAGCACCAAATGTAAAAAGGGTGTAATTGCTCAGGCTCAAAAACAATGACTACATATTCATGTTGCTCGACATTCTTTCTCATTGTGTTGGTAGCTTTTGCTTGATCTATAACTGTCATACAAATACACAGCAAAATCCTTTAGACACATGGAGTCTCCCAGTTGGTGGGGACTTGACTACATTTTAATAGTGTGTATTAACAGAAACGTGGTTGGAGACTGCAGAGGTAAGAGAAGGCTGGCAGACAGTTTCCTGAGGACCTCACCTCCATCCACAGCATCTGAACTCCCATGCTCTGTCCCTGCCATCACCATCACCTCCACTTCAGGGAAGAAATGAGAACAACTCAGAGATTTTAGGGAATGTGCCTAAGCTGACACAGCTGGTACCTGCATGAGCTGGGCCTGAGAGTGCAGATCCAGGCTGGTTATCACCCGCCCTCTTCTCTCTGTCCCCAGGGCACTGGGCTGGTTTCATTTTGCGGCTTCCCTCCACCCCAGCCCTCACATCATACTCACGATGTCCTGGCACCTCCGTAACAAAATCTCACAGCCTGGGTGGCTTAATCAACAGAAATCTGTTTTCTCCCACTTCTGGAGGCCAGAAGTCCAAAATCAAGGTGCTGGCAAAGCCACAGTCTCTTGGAACCTTGTAGGGGGAGTTCTCCCTTGCACCTTGCTCGTTTCTGCTGGCTGTGGTCAGTCTTCGGTGGACCTTGGCTCGCATCTGCCTCCCTCCAGTCTCTGCCCCCGTCTGCACACAGCCTTCTCCCTGTGTGTCCGTGTGCACACAGCCTTCTTTTTATAAGGACACCAGCCATGTAGGACTAAGGGCCGATCTACCTCAGTGTGGCTTCATCTTAACTAATTGCATCTGCAACAATTCCATTTCCGAAGAAGGCCATGCCCCACAGTACTGGGGGTCAGGATTTTTTTTTGGGGGGTTAAAACAAGATTTTGTTTTCAATATTTAATTTTTTATTAAATAAAATAATTTTACGTATTTGTGGGGTACCTATTTTGATATGCACAATCTAGTGATCACATAAGGGTAATTAGCATGTCCATAATCTCAAACATTTTTTTATTTTTATTTTTTATTATACATTAAGTTCTGGGGTACATGTGCAGATCACGCAGGTTTGTTAGATTGGTATACATGTGCCATGGTAGTGGTTTGCTGCATCCATCACCCTGTTATCTACATTAGGTATTTCTCCTAATGCTATCCTTCTCCAATCCCCCCACCCCCTGCTATTCCTCCCCATCCCCCCAAGTCACCAGGCCCCAGTGTGTGATGTTCCCCTCCCTGTGTCCATGTGTTCTCATTGTTCAACACCTGCTTATGAGTGAGAACATGTGGTGTTTGGTTTTCTGTTCTTGTGTTAGTTTGCTGAGAATGATGATATCCAGTTTCATCCATGTCCCTTCAAAGGACATGAACTCATCCTTTTTTATGGCTGCATAGTATTCCATGGTGTATATGTGCCACATTTTCTTTATCCAGTCTGTCATTGATGACCATTTGGGTTGGTTCCAAGTCTTCACTTTTTTTAGTTTTCACTGTGAACAGTGCTACAATAAACATACATGTGCATGTGTCTTTATAATAGAATGATTTATAATCCTTTGGGTATATACGCAGTAATGGGATTGCTGGGTCAAATGGTATTTCTATCTCTAGATTCTTGAGGAATCGCCACACTGTCTTCCACAGTGATTGAACTAATTTACACTCCCACCAACAGTGTTAAAGGGTTCCTGTTTCTCCACATCCTCTCCAGCATCTGTCTCCTGATTTATTAATGATTGGCATTCTAACTGGTGTGAGGTGGTATCTCAATGTGGTTTTAATTTGCATTTCTCTAATGCCCAGTGATGATGAGCTTTTTTTCATATGTTTGTTGGCTGCATACATGTCTTCTTTTGAAGTGTCTCTTCATATCCTTTGCCCACTTTTTGATGGGGTTGTTTGGTTTTTTTCTCATAAATTTGTTTAAGTTCTGCATAGGTAGATTATGGATATTAGCCCTTTGTCTGATGGGTAGATTGCAATTTTTTTTTCCCATTTTGTTGCTTGCCAGTTCACTCTATTGATAGTTTCTTTTGCTGTGCAGAAGCTCTGAGTTTAATTAGATCCCATTTGTCTGTTTTGGCTTTTGTTGCCATTGCTTTTGGTGTTTTAATCATGAAGTCTTTGCCCATGCCTATGTCCTGAATGGTATTGCCTACTTAGTTCTTTAAAAACAGGTTTAAAATACAAAAGTCGATTTTCTGCTGATTCTTGAAGCTGTATCATTGTAGATTGCTATACAATTCTCTCTACTTTTACATTTAGACATTTTTATGTAAAAAATAAAAAGAGAGAAGAGAAATAACAGGAAAACATAAACTGACAAATAACATGTAAATATCAGAAAAATATAGGCAAAACCGTGAGCAGTAGAGTGTCAGGACTCAATTAAGCTTCGATTCACCAGGACGATAAAACACACACCGTCTATCGCCTTCCCCCCTTCGGGCAGATCTCTCACCTGTGGCTGTCTCTTCCCCCAGGTGAGCCTCCACGTGCAGAAGCAGGCCTGGGCGCTGGCTATGTGGTCCTCACCGTGGGGGCCATCTTTGTGCTGGTGGTGGGAGCAGCCACCTTTCTGATCGTGCGCTATCAGAGAACAAATGGGAGATACAACTTTAAAATCCAGTCCGACAACTTCAGCTACCAGGTGTTCTACGAATAGGAGGTGCAGGCTGGCAGGAAGGTGGGTGTGGAGTGGGTGTGTCTGACGCGTGGGTCCTGCCTTGGCCTCCCACGGTGATGGGGACGGCAGAGTGGGATTCGGCCAAGGGTAGATTTGTGTGTGTGTCTGTGTTTTGTGGCCCTTTACGGGGTGTGCAGCCTCCCTTGTGAAGAGGCAGCCACGAGCAGGCAGAGGGGACACCACAGGTAGATTGGTGAAGGTTTGCTTGCTTCACACGCTCGCTAGACTGGCTTCGTGATACCAGCGTGTGACACGGGTGACCACAGGACCCAGGTGCCCACCACAAATCCTGTCTCTGCCACTCACACTCTGGGCCGCCCAGGCAAGGTCTTGAGCCTCTTGATGCCTCGGTTTCCTCATCTGTAAAAGGAAATGTGGTAACAGTCCCGGCCACGTACAGGGTGTGAGATTGAAATGGGAAGATGTGCAAGAGGCCCCGTATGGGGTCCGTCGCTGACGGAGCCTAATGATTGTCCTCCACTGAGTGTCCCTGAAACCCGTCACTCGCAGGGATTGTCACACGTGGCATGGACACCACAGTGCACCCACACATCTCGCTGCTCAGGCCCACAGCCCCGACTTGCGTATGACCTTTGGAGGCTGATCAGCCCTGTGGACTTGTTTTCCCTGGGTCTGCACATAGTCCACCACAAATGAATGACAAGTGTGATGGAGGCAGGATCGTTAGTATAAACCCTTAGTGGGAAACACCAAGACTGTGACTTTTGTAAAGATTTTGAGGTTTTTCCAACAAAGAACATGCCTGTAATCCTAGCACTTTGGGATGCCAAGGCGGGAGGATCACTTAAGCCTAGGAGTTCAAGACCAGCCTGGGCAACATTGAAAGATCCCATCTCTACCAAAAAAAAAAAAAAAAAAAGGCACAAAAATAAGCCAGATATAGTGGTGCACACCTGTGGTCCCAGCTACTCGGGAGGCTGAGGTGGGAGGATCGCTTGAGCTTGGGAGGTGGGGGTTGCAGTAAGCCGAGACCGCCCCACTGCACTCCAGAGGAAGACCCTGTCTCAAACATAAATAAATAAATAAGAAGAAGAGAAGGGACCACAAGGCTCATCTGGCAGGGTGTGTGAGTGCTGCCTCCAAATGCTCTAGAGGTGCCCGTGGTTAGGGAGATGATGCAGGGGGCTGGGACTGACCTGGGCCCCACGCTGGGCTTTCGCCCAGGCACCGCTCCCTCACCCGCACGTTCTCCCTGAATCCGCCTCACCTGGCAGGACTCGGCCACTCAGGAGGCAGAACTGAGCAAGGCTGCCGTGGTCTGAGTGTTTCTTTGGCAGGTGACTGCGTTTTCATTTTTGTTGTTGTTGTTCTCTCTCTACTTCTCTTGCAAAAACCTTTACATGAGAGAAGCCTGCTTCATGGTAACTTCAAATGGAGGAAACGGAAAATTCCCCCACGGACCTGACTTGCCCAGGCCACATGGAGTGAGGCCAGCTCTGGGGCACCTTCCCGCCACGTGCCGCCACACTGGCCAGCCTCCCCAGAAGCCACCACCAACTTCCCCAGCTCCAGCGGTGTTAGGGGAACCAACCCTCTCTCTTCATGCCCCTGTTAGCTGCGGAGGTTGCAGACCATGGGAGGAATCTCCTCTCCCGTCGGAAGTGCATTTCCTCTAGCATGAGGAATGCTGCTTCCCTGGGGAAGCAGACGGTTTTCCCATCCAATTCAATTTGATTCAACAAATGCTATTTTGTGAAGGTTTCTCCTGGTCCCCCTGGTCTTCACCCCAGGAAACACCTTCCCATGGACCCATCACTACTTCTGCATTAGGCTGGTCTCACGCTGCTATGAAGAAATGCCTGAGACTGGGTCATTCCTAAGAAATGAAGTCGGCTCGTGGTTCCACAGGCTGTACAGGAAGCATGGCGACATTGGCCTCTGGGGAGGCCTCGGGAAACTTCCAACGATGGTGGAAGGCCAAAGGGAAGCAGGCACGTCTCACATGGCTGGAGCAGGAGGAAGGGGTCGGGGCAGGTGCTACAGACTTCTAATGAGATTTGGTGAGGACTCTACCGGGAGACAGCACCAAGGGGATGGTGCTGAACCAGTCATGGAGGATCCGTCACCGCGATCCAGCCACCTCCCGCCAGGCCCCACCTCCAACATGGAGATCACATTCAACATGAACCGTGGGTGGGGATGCAGATCCCCCCAATACCAGCTGCCCACTCTCTAAGCCAAGACCCCAAATGAAGAATGTTCTGGATGCCCTCGAATGGCGGGCAGGAAGGCCAAGCATGCTGCTGCTAGGGTTTTCCACCCACGTATTCCCAGACCTGAGCTGCCTTCTCTCCAGGATTCTCCGCAGGCAGCTTTCTCTCACTGGCTCCCCCAAACAGGCTCTTGGGAAAGGAACTACATTATCTTCTAACGTTAGCAGCACCTGAGAGTGGGACATCGCCCTTAGCGCTGTGCACTAGCATCCTGTGTTATGGATGGGAATCCAGGGCAGAAAGGGATAGATGTCCCAGGTCACGTGGCTAGGAGGTGGCAGAGCTGGGACTACATGGGATTTCCATTTGGCTCTGGGGTCAGCTCTCTTAGCTACCAAGCTTAGAGCCTTTCTTTCTGTTTTTGTTTGTTTGTTTGTTTGTTTTTACACAGAGTCTCAGTCTGTGGCCCAGGCTGGAGTGCAGTGACACAACCTTGATTCACTGCAACCTCTGCCTCCCGGGTTCAAGTGATTCTCCTGCCTCAGCCTCCCGAGTAGCTGGGACTACAGGTGCATGCCACCATGCTCAGCTAATTTTTGTATTTTTAGTAGAGATGGGGTTTCACCATGTTGGTCAGCTGGTCTTGAACTCCTGACCTCAAGTGATCCACCAGCCTCAGCCTCCCAAAGTGCTGGGATTACAGGCATGAGCCATGATGCCCAGCCACCTTAGAGCCTTTCTAAGGCCAGTATGCATGTGACTGATGGGCCCTTAGAACAATGCCCTTGCCTTTCCCCTTCATCAGAGACCTGGAGAATTTGTATTTTAGCAGTTGTACAAGGGGGTCCATAATTCTTGCAGTGGGGGCACAAGGTGTCCCAGTTTAGAAGGAAAAACTGTTGTGGGTACAGGGAAAGAACCTTCCCAGGATCTCTGAGCCTCCCAAGGAGGCAGGCGCTGCTCAGTTGTGGTCTGGGTCCTCAGCCATCTATGAGATTCCCAAATGGGGCAGGAGATAGCAGTGAAGTTTCAGTTCAACTGTACACTCTAATAGAGAAAAATAAGTAAGCTTCCTCAGCTTGGTAGCTTTTGGCCTCTGGTTTGTGGCCCGTGGGGTTTGGGTCATGAAGGCCCCCTCGTCATCAACCCTATTGCCTTCCATCCTGGGCAGGAGATGTTGTCACTACCAGCCTGCCCCTCTTCACCAGGCAGGCAGCTTCTCCAGCCAAGCCTGTCTTGCCTGTGCTCAGGTCCTTATTCTCTTGAGATAACAGATGTGTGAAACTGAGTTGTTTCACAAATCAGCGAAGTGTGGTGGACACTGGCCCCAATCTTAAAGTGAGGAAACGGGGCCCAGAGAACTCAAGGAACTCCTCCCAGGTCACACAGCACAAGTCTACAGCACACATCTCCAAAAGGCAACCTCCATGCTGCCCTCACTGTGCTACTGCATCAGAGAAAATGCCACCCGCTGTGGATGTGAGTCGGCCAATGTGAGAGGGATGCTTGTATAGCTTTGTCTTAGCCCCTCTCCTGCCAGGACTCCTGGTAACTACTGTGCCATTATTCTGGGGTCTCAGAACTCTTACATCACAGACGGGGCCAGTGCCAGAGGCCAGTCACCTCCCCAGGTAGAGTTACGAGGAAACGTCATTGCCTCTTATTTAATATTGAAGATGTGAATCCCAGCAACGCGGCCAACGTTTGTCTTGCTAGCTTTCTGAGGAAGTCTGGTGGGTTGGCGCCAAGGTCATGCTGAATGTCCCCTCCTCAAAATCAAAACATCCCAGGGAAAACTGGCCTCTCGTCTTTCCTTGTTCTCCTGGGGCTTCTGTCTTCTGAAGTGAGAACTGTCTCATCACTAGTTCTAAAGTTCCTGCAGACATCTGCTGTTTGAAAACCGTCAGCCAACCCACCCACCCCCTGCCAGGTTGGTCCTTGGGCAGCCCCACTCAGAGATGTTCCCAGAGTGCCGGTGGGTCCTCCATGGATGGTGCAAAGGTGCAGGGGCCCCAGGCGTGCTTGTCCAGCTGAGGTATCTGCCCCAGCCACCTCCACCCCCTGGTGTGGTGAGAGCGTCACCCACCTGAGAGCAGGCACAGCCCCACGGCCCCCGTTACACTGTGCATGCTGGTAGTGGCTAGATTTTCATTTGGGGCATCTGTCCCTCTCCGGTACGCATAGACGCCACGCCCTCGGGTTGGTGGTTTTTCCAGCACGCATCCTCCTGGGGCTTCTGTCTCAGCCTCACCTCTCCTCCCTGCAGGCTGACCCGGGTGACCTCTTCGTCCAGCAGGTCGCCGTGAGTCAACCTGCCTCCAGGACCTTGGCGCTTCCCCGGCGGGCTCCCCCGGGATCCCCGGTGTCTCCCTACACCTCCATCCATCCCTCGGTTCTTAACTCTTCAAGCCTTAATGGGGGGCTGCTCTGATGGGTGTGCACTGCCAGCACCTGAGTGAGCCCAGAGAAGATGGCAGCAGCCACTGTCTTCCCCCAAGAGGCAGGCTGTCCTGTGGGTCCCAGAGGAGCCACACCTCGCAGGCAGGTGAAGGGGCTATGAGAGATGGGGGCAGTGCTGGGGGTGCCCGGGCTCTACCACCACCCACACGGCCCCCACAGCCCAGACCTCCCAGACCTGTGACCCTCCACAGCAGACCACGGAACCCTCCTCCTGGGCTTGCTCTCCCGTGACATCCATCGCTCTTTGGCAAATACAGAATATTCCACATTCTCAGAGAGACCTGGCAGTGCTCTTAATGCTGTTTTAAAAATAGGCCAGTCTTAGAAATATACTGCTGGTGTTATTTTTGGTGGATGTTTATGCTCATCAACTTTTCTCCTGTGTACTAAGGTATTGCTTTTATTTACACAACAGCAACTCAAAAGGCACTCCATTAATATGACAATCTCTTTAGTAGTAGAAATAACATGTACACATGACTCTACATTTTTCTAAGCATTTTCACAGCCATTTTTTTTTCACATAAACTGACCACAGGAGGAAGTGTGATTTACTCACTACACAATGAGAAACCAGAGGAGACAATGAGTTACTTAATTGAGGACACAGAATGAATTAGCAAGAAAATGGTTCTAAAATATAAGCATTTTAGTCTAGCATTTTCTCCATTATACCATCCTGAGTGATAATGCTTTGTACTTTATTTGAAATAAACTGGAATTGTATTAGATAGCCCATACCTGAAAGTAGAGTGTTTTTCCTCAGGGAACTTAGAACTATAACATGGCCTTAGTTTTCAATCCATGATATTAACTTTGTTGAATATAATTAATTGTCATTCATACAGAACATTTGGGGAAAAGGAATATTTTGATTTACTGGATATTCTCAGAGTCAGTAAAGAATGACAGTGGGTAATATGTGTGGATCACAGATTCTGATAAGTAGTATCAGTTGCACAGGACACTGCAATGTGGCTGGTTGTGCTGGATGCGCCATTTGGGATGGTCACATTATAGGATCACTGGGCCTCCACCGAGGGCTGATGCTGTGTCGGCACTCTGGGGAGGCCAGGAACACACCTCTGGCTCTTCTCAAGTCATGTCCAGCTGCTCTGATATCAGCTGAGGAAGTTTCACTTGTCTTTCTTGGAAGGGCGCGACATATTCAGTAAAACTGAGTGTTGAGCCCCATGACCGTGTGGCTCATTGGATTTCAGATAAAGTCATTGGTATACATTTAAAAATCCTGTCTTTTAAACTTTGTCTACAGCTTTCATGTAATCTTAATACACATGCCACGTCTGTTCATTTGTGTTTTCTATAATAATGAAAACGTGGTTTCTTCTCATCCTACCTCCCCCACCCAAGTCTATTCTTTGACAAATACTTCCTGAACCCTCACAGTGTTCCAAGCCCTGAGCTCTGGGCAAAATGGTGAGAGGCAAACAAAGCCCTGCCCTCACAGAGCACACAGTCTTGTAGGGGAGGGAAACGCTGAAATCAGATGATGGGAGCCATGCTAGGTGCTGAAAGTGATGATTACATGTGTGCTGTGAGATGCCCCTGACCTGGTTCCTTCATTCACCCATCTAGCCATCCAACCATCTACCCATCTATTCACCCACCCATTCACACATCTGTCCACCCATCCACACATCCACTTAGCTGTCCATTTATCCATTAATCCACCCATCAACCCATCTGTCCACCTGTCCACACATCTGCTCCTCTGTCCATCCATCCATCCATTCACCCACCCATCCACCCATTCACCCATCTGTCCATCCATTCATCCATCTAACCATTTGTTCATCTATTCAACCATCCATCCATTCACTCAGCCATTCATCCAACCACTCACCAAGGCATCCACCCACTCATCCACCTCTCCATCCATCCATCCACTCCACCACCCATCCATTCGCCCACCCATCCATTCACCCACCCATCCATTCACCCAACCATCCACCTGACCATCCACCCATTCACACATCTGTCCACCCATCCACACATCCACTTATCTGTCCATTTATCCATTAATCCACCCATCAACCCATCTGTCCACCTGTCCACACATCTGCTCCTCTGTCCATCCATCCATCCATTCACCCACCCATCCACCCATTCACCCATCTGTCCATCCATTCATCCATTTAACCATTTGTTCGTCTATTCAACCATCCATCCATTCACTCAGCCATTCATCCAACCACTCACCCAGGCATCCACCCACTCATCCACCTCTCCATCCATCCATCCACTCCACCACCCATCCATTCACCCACCCATCCATTCATCCACCCATCCATTCACCCACCCATCCATTCACCCAGCCATCCACCTGACCATCCACTCAACCAACCATCCATCCATCCCTTCATCCACTCAACCAAGGAATGTGTATTGAGTCCCAGTTTATAGACTGATATGAAGAAGACAAGAATAATGAGGAAGAGATTTTGCCCTCAGGTATTCACAATCCACCTGAAGAAAAACACCTGTGGATACTCTAATATGTGCAGTAAATCCAGGGAGGCCTCTGGAGGAAGGAAGGGAGAGACACTAAGAAAATGGATGTCTATGCATATGGTCTTGTATACCTGTTCACATTTCTTCATTGGAAGGCTTTGGGTACTGCTGCGTCATGACTGCTGTTTAAGAGTATTCTCAGCATGCATATTGCTTGTAGCTTAAACCCTCCAATCCTAGATTTTTTCCACGGGCATGGCTTAAGAGATTAAAGCCAAAGTGTATTGAAACAGAAGGAGGAAGGGGGGACCCAGGGTGGCCACTGGATGTCTGTAGAATTTGTTCACTTCTCTCCAGTGCAGATGTCACCCCAGGGTTGTGCAGTGTACAACCTGTTAGGCCAGACTTCAGGGCCATGGAGATTCCCTGGTCCTGAAGGGATTCATGGAGATTCCCCAGAAGATCTCTTCACAGACTGAGTGGGTAACTCAAGTCCTCCTGTCTGTGGAAGGGGGGAGTGTGTGAGAGAGGTGCAGACGCATTCTATACAAGCCTCATTATAATCCCCCAACAAATGATTGTTCTCGCTTCACAGTTGAGGAAACAGAGACCATATGCAACTTTTCTGAAGTCAAATAGCTGCCCACGAAGGAGCTGCAATTTAAACCGAGCACATTGGGTGTAAAGTTCATGCCACCCTCTGCTTCCTGTGGGGGATGCGAAGGGAGGCCTTTGCAGACTGTAGAACTCAGAGTACCTCTGAGATGTGAAAAGAGGGCTTAGGGGTTCCCCACGGACAGTGAGCCTTGGGCTCTTAGGGTCCTGGGTCCCTGGAGGTTCTCATGTTCAGACACCATTAGGACCTCAATCTTCCTGGCCCAGGATCCCAAGCTGCGAATCACTGTAAAGTGGAAGATCTAATGGAGATGGAAGGTCTGATGGAAGAGAATTTGATGGTGTAGGAGGGTCTGATGGAGGTGGAGAATCGCTGGGGCCTTCAATGGACCACTTGGCCCAGGCTGCATCTCTCCATGCTGGCCACTAGATGGTGACATAAGCCACCTAGTGCCCAGCATGGCTGTGGGAACCCTGTGTTTCCGCTGCAGCCACAACCCTGGGTTTCCGTTTGTTCTCCTTCACTGGGTTTGAGCCTCTTGTGTGACCTGTAGGGTCCAGGGCATATGGGAGCAAAGGTAGTGCCTTGGAGGCCCTGTAAATAGCTCGGAAGGTGAGGCTGTCTTCAGAGCCTAAGTGATTGCAAAGTGCAGGACAAATGAGTGTATGTGGTGTCACAGCACGGAGGTCCACAGCACGGACGTCCACAGCACGGAGGTCCACAGCACGGAGGTCCACAGCACGGAGGTCCACAGCACGGACGTCCACAGCACGGAGGTCCACAGCACGGACGTCCACAGCACGGACGTCCACAGCACAGAGGTCCACAGCACGGACGTCCACAGCACGGAGGTCCACAGCACGGACGTCCACAGCACGGAGGTCCACAGCACGGACGTCCACAGCACGGACGTCCACAGCATGGAGGTCCACAGCACAGAGGTCCACAGCACGGAGGTCCACAGCACGGAGGTCCACAGCACGGAGGTCCACAGCACGGACGTCCACAGCACGGAGGTCCACAGCACGGACGTCCACAGCACGGACGTCCACAGCACGGAGGTCCACAGCACGGACGTCCACAGCACGGACAACCACAGAACAAACGTCCACTCTCCTATCTGAATTTCTCAAGAATGGGAGACACCTTCTTTTCCCTCCCTTCCTGTTTCTGGGAGGAAAGGGGCAGATGGACTGAGACAGGTGACTGAGACAGGTAGCAGGGAGCCAGCAGCCTCAGGAGCTGGTGCTGGGAGGCCCCGGTGAGATACCTATGGCTCAGGAGAGGATCTGTGCACGTGGAAGGGACACCCGCAGTGCCCAGTGACACCTCCATCTACTGTGGAGGGTGATGGAGTCTGTTAAGGTAGCCAAATAAGCACCTAAGCCAGAAGTGAGTATCCAGAACAGCCATGCGTACCATAAGCCGTCAGATAAGAGGGGCTGGGCAGGGGCTCCCCAAGCCTGTCCTCAGCCGTGACCAGGCGGTTATCAGCCCTCTTTAGTCTGAGCGCGTGCTTTGTCCTGGAGAGGGAGTATTAAATGTCTGCTGTTCACCCCGCGCCCTGTCTCTGTCCCTCTTGGGGAAGAGGGCTGCAGTGGGAGTCTCCTGATGCAGGGTCCTCCCAGTTCTCTGCTCACCCGTGCTGAGGCTCTGCGTCTTGTGGAATGCGGTCATGTTGCAGGCCCTTGTAAGGATCAGTGATGCCCACCGAGGGCCCGGCGCACAGGCTCCCGAGGTCGGAAGCACAAATCCCGCTGTCGAAGTCACAGCAGCAGCGGCACCCTGCAGACAGGCCCACGGGCCTCTCCTCGGCACGGTGTCGGGTGCTGAGTGCCTCTTGTGGGCTGTGGGCTTCATGTCCAGCACTGCCAAAGTTGCCTGGATCGGGCGGGTCTTCAGCCTCCATCAGATCTTCCACTTGACAGTGATTCGCAGCTTGGGATCCTAGGCCAGGAAGATTGAGGTCCGAATGGTGTCTGAACATGAGCACCTCCAGGGACCCAGAACCCCAGAAGCCCAAGGCCCACTGGCCTTGGGGAACACCTAAGTCCTCTTCCGGGAGAAGAACACCACGCATCTGCAGCCCTGGGTGCCCCCAGGAGTACACGGGCTCTGGCACGGGGGTGGGCGAGGGGCGAGAGTCTGGCCCCTGTCTCCTGGCAGATTTCGAAGTGTGGTCAGAAACATGGCTGGAGTGGTGACTGGGTAGACTGGGGAGTCATCGTTCGGTGAATCAGGCTTGACCTCTTCTCCACCCCTGCTACCGCTGGGGTCTGTGTTGACCTGGAGCTCATCCCACCTCGTCCTGGCAGAGCAAAGGCCCTGGACTGGGGTCTGTGCACAGGTGCTGGTGAGTGCCCGGCTGTGGACACACAGCAGAGGCCTGTCAGCGTAGAAGGAGCCGAGGAGAGCCCTGGGGATCCCCAAGAGCTTCAGGGTGTAGGGACAATCGCCCAGACAGGCTGACTCTGCAAGGCCTGTCCCCATGGCAGGAGATGGCCTGTGCGAAGTGGGACTCCTGGGGAGGAGTGCTGAGGACTAGAGGGAAGGGACAGTGTGACTCCACAGGCCCCACGAGGGACACAAGACGGACGTGCTTTGGCCTGGGTGCCCTTCTGAGTCGTCAGAGGTCCACGCACCCT